CTAATTCTGAAATCGAATCCACCCCCAAAGTAGGAGTTTTGAACGTCGAATTTGCGCTCAAACTCAGGATTTACAGATTTTTAAAAAGTTTAATATGTCTCAAATGAATCACTATTTTTGTAAATGATTTTTTGAAAATTACTGATCAAAAACTTCAACACTCGCACGACACAAAAACATATTGTACTAGATAGATACAAATAAATTAAATTGCGCCTAAAATTGAAATCATATAATATGGTTTTAATGAAAACCCCTATAATTGAAAAGTAATTGAGAAAAGCAAAAATGTTCTGAATTTCTAATATGTATCAACAGGATAAATTAGCTTTTCTCATCTTTGTGCATAAAAATTAGAGGACCTACAGGGTAACAAAATCGTACCAGTATGGTAATGCCGCATACATTTGACCTTCTCCTTCTAGCTATAGTCTGCAGTGAATGTGTACTTGAGATGTCTTTGCAGTGATGTCAATGCCGAGTTTTTATTGCATATGACCAAATTAATTTCTTATTCTCATATAAAAGAAAAAGCAAAGACAACAATGATTCTAATTTTAACAGGATATGACTGATTCTTATAGTTGTTCTTTTATCAATATTCTAACTTTGTTTCTGTAGAGCAGAAATCACTTTTATAGAGAAACCCCAATTGAAAATCATCAACTTTTGAAGAGAGTCTTAATCAGATCGGACATTTCATATTATTACATTAATAAGTTAGTAATTATTAAAGTTTGACGTACAATAAAATTTAAATAATATTTCAATTGGTAATTTTTGGTTTAGAATTGCACATTATATTATTTAAGTGTTTTATATTCAGTATGAATGTTTTAGAAATAAACATATTGAATCATGAAAAAAGGCCTCTTTTTGCATGTTTTTCATACTTACATAAGTATTTAATGTTATATTTTATCGAAATAAAATTGATTTAATTGAAAAAAATAGAAATTTAACAATTTTTCTTTGCAACACTTTAAAGAATATTGATGAAAATATTTTAGAAGGTAATATAATAATAATATTATAATATTGTAGAAGGTAATATAATAATATTATAACACAGTTTTTTTTATTTTAACCTTTCTTCAAGTCAACTAGACTGATTTTTTTTTCTAGGACTGAAAAAGATGAATAAAATTTCGATGTTACTTTCAGTACATTATACCCCAGACACTCTTTTAAGTTTTTTTTTTAAGAATTTAAATAGCATGAAAACTACAATTTTTTTTACTGGAATTCGTTCTTATTTTTATAAGAATTCAAAAAATTCAAGTATAAATGCAAAACACTAATTTTTTATTTCTACTTTCAATGGATTATTTAACACCTATGGTCATAATGGTCATATTCTATGTTTAAGATTTAAATTCAAATCTGTAAATAAATGTTTATATATGTATAAAAAGAAAGTACTAAGTAGTCTATATTAATTTGATTTTTTAAAGTTTCCGATGGTTCTTAATGTTTACATTTACAACAATACAACGAGGAAAAAAAGAAAGCCAAATCTATTGTGGACGGTTTTTATGTTTATATATGTAAATGCACATATTTATATAAAAGAGTAAAATTTTAAAAATACCATAAAAAAATATTTTATTCATTGTGAAAGATATTTTTGTGTCTATTTTCCACAACAAATGTTTAATCTATTGTACCTATAGTCCGAGAACTCATGGTTTACTCCCAGGAACTTTGGGGAACCTACACTTTAATAGGGTCCACAGGAGTAGGGATTATACATTATTATTTTTAATACAAATCTTCATTAATATTTCAGTTTTTAAACTTCACATGTTATTCAAAAAGAAGAATATAATGTTTCACGTCCTACGATGATCCTCAGTAGTCAAAATTCTTTAAACAGCTCTAAATTAATGTTTATTTTATTTACAAAACTAAGTGAGGGTAGAATTGCACTCGATTTTGTCAATTTTAATGGTCCATAAACCTTCTCTAGCTACATTCATGTTTGGGCCCGATCGGTTCAGCCGTTTGTTGGATTCAGACAGAGAAGCCGGACAGACAAGTCTAATATTTTCTTATATATATTCTTAGTTTCTAAGTTTCCAACGCATGTAGTTAAAAAAGGGCGGAACGGAATTTGGTCGAATACAAATATCAAGATTAAAAGTACAAACACATATGAGCCAGAAAGTGTCCTACTCCCCAACCAAACATCTCCCCTCTTTATATATATATATATACAGTGTTTCGTCCTTATGGATCAAACACACTAACCACTACTCCATTCTGGAAGAAACTCTAAATGCAAGAAAACGGACTAAACAAATTCCGTACAATCGTCTCTGAAGTCTCATCCTTTGTGGGTAACCCTATGTATAAAAATATATATGTTATTTATAGCTGGCCAAACGGCTGAACCGAATACATTTTTTTAAATCGAAATATGTTTTCTTTCGATTTTTTAATAATTCTACGGGCAACGCCGCGTGCACTTCAACTAGTTTGAAATAAAATAACATTCGGCCATTTTCTTCACGGCTTTTTCCCCGATTCTATTAATGTTATTTTTATCAGATTTATTGGAATTTTCGATTTATTCAAAACTGTTGTTATTTTTCATTTTTGTAAAGATTATTAATTTTTTGTTCTTATCATTATCATAATTGTCATTATAATTTTTGTTATTATCTTTTATATAATAAAATGTAAAATAAAACGACGGGAGTAAACGTGATATTAACCATGATTCTTGATATAAACTGCAGCTAGTTTTGTAAAAAATCATAATTATAATTATTATTATTATCATTAATCCGTTTGGTTTTCTAGTTATATCTCGAAAATCAGGAAATTAAAACAACTATTTATATATTTTAGAGATGTGTATTATTGTTTTTTCTTCATTTTTAACATTCAAGATTTTTTTTACTTTTAAGAATTTTAGATGTTAAACACATACTTAAAATTTTACAAAACTCAAAAGCTTTTGAATACGGCTTTATGTAATTCTGATCGTCTATAATACTTAAAAGATATCTGCAACTTTTTTTTACATTGTTCATAATCTTCATTTTAACATAAAACAAAACATTTTCAGACTAAAAGAATAATTTGAGAAATGCAATCTTACCGATAATAACATTTCAAATACGTGAATCGTCTCCTATTCTTAAGGAGCCTCTGAAGTGTTAAATCAGTTTAAAAATTAATCAGTTTGAATTTAGGAACTCAAAATTTTTTACTCTGTTTTGAAAAGAATTTTAAGATTTCAATTTCAACGTGCGCTTTGCGTTAATTTGACGATTTAATCCTAAAAAGTTATAATTTATGAAAACATGATGCCCATGTCTAGTTCTTTGGCAGAACTATACTCAAGTTTACTATTACGAACTATAGTGAACTGTCAACCAGATTTTAAGACGGAGTCTGGATCTACTAGTTTCAGTATACAATAAAAACACTTTCAATATAATTCAAACTATAAATATCATTTTCCACATTCATATTTTTTCATTTCATATTTTTATTCAACTAGAAAGCATGAGATATTACAAATAAGCAATCACAATTTACAATGCAGTTTGGACCCGCCAAACCAGGGTAGGTTATTTTGAGTGGTTGGTCCTAAGTTAGTTAACGATACTGAATATAATTGGTTACACACATCAAGATATGTGATTGGATAGGTAAGGAGTTGATTGGAAGGAAGGAGATTGTCAGGTGATCTGTGGCACGGTGAGATCAGAGGGATGTAGATATAAATTAAAATACAGGGTGTTATAGGATGGTGGATACACAAACACAAATAAGATAATAAAGTTTCAGATTTTAAGTTCTTTTATATAAAATTTATTCGCATTTAAACCTCTCATAATTCTCAAGATAAATATTGATTGAGCTCTTTGTTTAAATATCTTTGCAGATTTAGTTTCTTTTAGGTCAATTTCAATTGCATTCCACGATTTAAGAAACATTACGGACGGAAAGCTTTCTAGATCTTTGCTTATACCCCGTTATACTTTAAATGATTTTGTTCTATTCGGTTCAGTTAGAGACTTAAACATATTTTGGAAGGAAGAGGGAAGGTTATCATTAAAGTATCCATGCATAAATGATAGAACACAAAGTGGTATGCATCATCAAGATTAAGAACTTTCAGTTTTGAAAATAATGGATTTGAATGTGCCTTGAAAGTACAATTATTAACCGCTCTGATTGCCTTTTGTTGCAAAGAATGTTAAATGGTAAGATATTCTTAATTTGAGACAAAGCAAGGTTTGAGCTAGAAACTTTATTCGAGATATGTTCAATTTGAAAATCCCAGTTTAAAAATTCGTCAAGTTTAAGTCCAACAAATTTGAAATATTTGTTCACACAGTTATTACCAATTCTTTTAGGTATCTCATTTCCTATTGATATATTACAACTGTTGGGGTCAAAGTGCATATTTTTATTTTTAAATACTATATACGTTGTTTTGGAGACATTTAATGTCACAAACGATTTGTTTGAAACCATTTTGCTACTTTTTTTTAATTCAGTGTTTGCATCAAGTGTTAGGCTTGCAATGTCAGGAGATGACTTCAAAAAACTAGTATCATCTGCAAAGAGGCTGGTAAAAAAAGATGTTGCTAGAGGCATTGATACAATTATTTTAAATGCTCATTATCTATTCATATGAAATTATATTTGATATATATTTGGAAATATTCTAAATAAAACCTGCCTCACTCGGATTTAACAGTTCGGTCCTTGTCCCACCAAGGTGTTGACTTTTAATCACAATTTGATTAATTGATCATTTTTCGCTTGTAATCACAATTTGATTAATTGATCATTTTTCTCTTTTAATCACAATTTGATTAATTGATCATTCTTCTCTTTGCCTTTTCAACTTTTTAAAGTTTTAAAATAAAATCGAAAAAAATACGGGTCTGTAGATCTAAAGATGATTAATTATTGAGCAAACTGGGATTGAATTAAACTTGAAGAAACTGAACCTGGTTAGTCCAGGGTGGACTGACCTTATTATTCTGATGTTTATCCGTCCTTGAATATATTTGAAGAAGATGCCGCCACCAGATGCTATGATTAGCCCAAACCAACGTAGGGTGGTTCAAAACAAGAAAATCAATTACCTGAAATTTTAAGAAACCAGGAGTTTTTGTCTGATTTTCTAATCCCTATATCTTTGCAACCCGATGTAGTAGACCTTTGATATTTTAATTTTTGAACTTTGTTAGATCAAATAGTAAATTTCAAAGGTCTACACGATCAGATTGCGCAAATATAGGGATTAAAAAATTTGAATTTTTGGCAAGAACTCAGTTTCCTTTTGATATGCTTGAAACTAGCGGAAAAATATTGTTTATGAACTAGCTTCAAATTCAATTCACCAATCATCTCAATTTATCCAGGGGGGGGGGGGGCTAAACCTCTCAGACATTAAATCCCCCAAGGGAAATTTCAGGGTTAAGAATCCCCAATCTACCTACTCCCTGCCCTCCCCACTCCCCCACCCTTTCATATGAATTTGACATTACCAAGCTGATCTGCTAGTTTTCTTCTTCCTTTTTAATAAATTCTGAGAACAAACCGTATTAAAATAAATTTAGTTTAAATCACGCCCAGTATTACAGTATTTAGCTATAGAGATGGTAAAATTAAGATTTCCTTTACTTACTTTTAGATAGAAAAAAGACGAAAACTGTTAATATCTCCTTTATATAAACTTTAAGTTTAGCTCAATACTCAGTTAAATAGAAATGCATCTTTAGCTTCTCTTTGATAGAAGAGAGACAAAAACCTTTAGTTTCTCTTTTACTCAGATTAAACAGAAACAGAATATTTACGTTTAGCTTTATTCAGATAACGGTAAAAACAGAATATTTACGTTTAGCTTTATTCAGATAACGGTAGAAACAGAACATTTACGTTTAGCTTTATTCAGATAACAGTAGAAACAGAATTTTTACGCTTAGCTTTATTCAGATAACGGTAGAAACAGAATATTTACGTTAAGCTTTATTCAGATACCGGTAGAAACAGAATATTTACGTTTAGCTTTATTCAGATAAAATAGAAACGGTAACTTTACATTCAGCTTTAACTCAGATAAAATAGAGACGAAACTTTAAGTTCAGCTTTAACTCAGATAAAATAGAGACGGAAACTTTAAGTTCAGCTTTAACTCATATAAAATAGAAACGGAAACTTTAAGCTTAGCTTTAACTCAGATAAAATAGAAACGTAAACTTTAAGTTAGTTTGAACTCAGATAAAATAGAGACGGAAACTTTAAGTTTACCTTTAACTCAGATAAAACAGAAACGTAAACTTTAAGTTAGTTTGAACTCAGATAAAATAGAGACAGAAACTAAGTTATAGCTTTAATTCAGATAAAATAGAGACGGAAACTTTACGTTTAGCTTAAACTCAGACAAATAGAGATGGGAATTAATTACTCAGATAAAATAGTGACGGAATCTTTAGATTCTCTTTGAGAGCAAAGATACGGAAACTTTGATTTATATTTTACTCAGGTTAAATAGAAACATAATCTTTAAGTTAAGCTTTACAAAGAGAAAATAGTGAGACAGAAACATTAAATTTCACTTTTATTCAAATATAACAGAGACACGGTTTTCTTTCTTTTTTTCGGATAATATCAAAATAGAGATTAGTTTGTCCGATAATAGTTTATTCATAAATTTAAAATTGTTATCTATGGAATTTTTTAATAATAATTTTAATAGATTATTTGAAGTGTCAAACAATTTTCTTTTTTTTTCTCGAGGTATTCTATGAGAAATTCAGGCACCGATTAAAATTTGAAAATTAAAGATTAAGGAAGAATTTGAATCGGTGATTCAAATTTAAACCAGCCGCGGCGGTAAGAACTTCAAATTCATAAAAAATTGGTTTCAGAACAAAGTAAGCATAGTACAAATCCCGTCTTGATTTAATGATAGTAAATCCCCCAATTCTTCTTTTAAAAGATATTAACTTTCCCTTTAGTTAGAACATGTTTATTATCCTATAAAAGCTGTAATTAATAAAATGATAACAACCTCTCTCCGTCATAGAATAATTCAAGATTATCTAGTTTTGATAAAATAATCAAATTCATGGGTTTGCACGCTAAAAGAAACTTTCTGTACGTTCTTGAGTTAAATATGTAAACGTAATTTCAAGTGAATCTCAATTGAAAGATTGGCATGCCCGACCATACAAACAAAAACAAAAAGGCGAAGAATTCTTTTTTGTCTTTATTGTTTTTTAGATTAAGGTGATTAATTGAAATTACACTGTCAATCTCTTTAAAAGACTATTTACTAAAATTAATCACAAAAGTACTAGATCGTGTCAATATTAACCAAAATAATTCTAGCATTGGAGGATTTAAAACTTTTGGATAAGAAATATTTAGTCCTAACCGGTCGTCTCGACGTTTAACGGTTTAATTGATCAAAACTGATGCCCAAACATCTTACGTAGATGTTATCTAAGCTTAAATGATGTAATCTGGAGTAGTGATGTGCCTTCCGCTGGTTCGTTTTTTTGGGTCGTTTAGTATACACTACACATATGTCATATTTTGACCCTGACAGAAGATGTATGCAAAAAAAATCGAAAACGATCCAAACGTTTCTTCATTGTTTTAGGGCAAAGAATAAACATATTGCAAAATTAAACTTTAACTTAATAAAGTTTTGATATCTTGGAAGTTTTAATAAATGAAAAAAACCAGTCATGATTAACAACATTAAAAACTTACCTCTTTTTTAAGACAGAGAAGGTCCATTAAATCACTTTTTCATCCAAAAATAACTTATAACTTTACCACTCGCTCATTCTCGGAATGTCACATATTTTTTTAAATTAGGGGTGGGGATGGAAGAATGATAGAGAAAAGCGAGAATTTTTGTTCATCCCCTCCAGTGAGGGACTGCTGCACCCCTAGACCAGTGAAATCTATTGATTTCAGGGTTTTTTAGGCACCAACGGGTGCTGAGCCCCCTCTTGGAAAGATAAAAAATTTAAGCCCCCCCCGCCTGGACAAATTCCTAAATACGCCCCTGTGAANAAGGGAGTGACCGGCTATGTAAGGTAGTTGAACTGAGTATGCAGTGTTGTGGAAAACTTCTTTCGGATTCATTTGAGACATATAAAACTTTTTAAAGATCTGTAAATCCTGAGTTTGAGTGCAAATTCGACGTTCAAAACTCCTACTTTTGAGGTGGATACGTTTTCAGAATCGGGTTTTTTCAAATTATTAAATAAATACCTTACATAGCCGGTCACTCCCTTTAAGTCAAGATTAGATTTTAACAGAATAGTAGTTTTAGGTTTAGCAAACTTTAATAATAAGCCAATATAGTTGTCTGCAGTCTAATTATAAAGAATTCCATGGGATTTAGAATAAATATAAAAGTTAAAAATAACTATAATAATAGGCGACTGAATCATGATACAGTCGTCGTCATATATATCAATACAATGAAGACGATTTTCGATTTTAATTTTGATTTGTACCCAGCTTTTTGACAGCATGGATACACACAAGGGTGTAATGCAAGGAAAGTCAATTGTGGTTCTGTATACTCTGTGTACATATTGAAACCAGTTCTCTCTGGGCGGAATTTGTAAACAATAATAGATGCATCAGTGTTCGTTCAGTATTCGAGGAGGGGGGTTCAATGGAGCATCAATGGAGCATTAGAAAGCATGAGACCTTTAGTAGAAATGATGAGATTTGCCAACAATACTGCTAAGACTGAAAAGCTTCCTTTTCAAAAAGGAATTCTGCTGAGTATCAACTCTCTGTTAGGCCTTTTTGAGGACATTCAGAAGAAAGGTGTAGATTACATAGAGAATAGAATATATAGAGAGGAAATAAAAGAATCTCTCGGTATGAATTTTTTCAGTCCCTTTCAGCCTGAAAGGGAGTTCAAAGTGTACAAATCATGTAAATGTTCACAAATTATATGCAGTAGAGTACAAATTAATACAGTATGTTCCCTAGACTATCCATTTCAATTTCGAATTTTTTAAACTGTTAAATAAACTTTATAATGAATTAGGTGAATAAAAACATCATTTGATTTATAGTTATAACGGAAAATCATCGTTTGTAAAGTGGAAGGCATAGAGTCTATGTGAAATGATCAGTGGTCAATTATGAAACCAGCCTATTTCATAATTTGGTTTTCTTTCAACAATAATTTTAGATTTTCTATATAATGATATTCCAGGGCCCAACAGGTTACATAGCATAAATATGTGAAGTACACCTGCAGTATGAAAACAGTACAACAAAATGGCCGTTTTACACTTTTTTTCTAGTAAATTCCTCTCTATATATTCTATTCTCTATGGTAGATTACCTTCTCACCAAAAATATAAACCAAGATTGCTTGGAGAACTTTTTCAGTCTTCTACGTTCGTTTGGAACCTCACATCCTGGACCTGTAGATGTCATGCAGAAAATCAAACTCATCTTGGTAGGAGCAAACCCAAAAAATGCTCTCAGTGTCAGTAATCCTTCAGTAGAGATGGAGACACCCCAAGGAAGTGAAGAAAAGAATACAGAATTTGTTTCTTCATTGATTTCTTCCCAGGTAAACTATTTTAATGTAAATTTCAAAAAACATTTAACATGTGTTTTAAATGAATAATTTTAGTATGTTTAGATTCTAGATGAAGATAAACAGAATGAGATATTGCAGCCTGGTATTATTCTACTAGAGGACCAAGTTAAGGTTCAAACCCTAGACCAGTTGGGTCAGTTGCAGAAGAAATCTGCAAATGAGGCAGTAAGTTACATTGCCGGATATATTGCAAAGAATATGTGTAACAAAGTTGAAGGCCTCATATCTGAAACCACAACCAGTAGCTGGATTAAGCTTAAAAATCAGGGATCACTGTTTTCCCAAGCAAGGAGCTTGTGGAAAGTATTCACCATTATGAAGAAGTTTTTGTCAGTGTACACGTTGGAAATATATGTAGGCAACCAGATCCTATGGGAAGAACAACAGAGGCCATTCTGAAGATAGACCAGACCTGGCCAAAACTCGTAGTGGACCTTTTTGTTAAAATACGCTTTATTCAACGTTTAAGAGTTTTGAACTCTCAGCTCAAGGAAAAACACAAAACCAATTGTGTAAGAAATTTTAAGCAAAAAGCTCAGTTTATTTTTTGAATAAATTTGTCTAAATATAATGCATTCATTGTTTTATTTTCTTCAGTATAGTATGACTATATGTTGGTAGGCGATTATATCAATAAAATAAATGACTACTTCTTTATTTAAGTTTGTATTGTAAAGAAGCTTTTTTTGAAGTACAAAGTTACTAGTAATTTGAGTGAAACTTGTTTAATTTTATGTCCATGTTTTTGTGTATCCATGTTGTTTAAAAGCTGGGCATAAATCAAAATTAAAATCTAAAGTAGTCTTCATGATATTGATATAATCGCCTACCACCGTAAAGTGAAGCCTAAAACAAAAGCATTTTTTTCGATGCTTTCCTTTTAAGTATTGAACCATTCCTTACCCTTCCTTCCTTTCTGTTATTGTGATTAATATGAGGCTTTTATAAGATTTTCAGCAGAAAAGACGATCCAACTTGTACGTTTATTGGGTCGCATTGTTAAATAATCAAAAAATGCAGAAGTTTTTCCACAACCTTAGTCAAATATTACAATTGAATAACTTAAAGTTTTTTAAAATTTTGATGATTTTGATAATTTATGTTATAAATTCCTATGACCAGAATATTTCATTGATTTTTTAATTGAAAAATGGATCCCATGTCAGGCTGTGACACCCCTACTCTTGTGTTTACATTAGAGCCCAAAGACAGTACACTGCAGTACAAAAAATTCGTACACCACTGAAATAACTTTCCTTGCATTACACCCTTGGATACACATAAACATTAAACACAAGGATAAATGACTGAAAGGACTGATATTAAAGAGAGTGCTCACAATGAATGAAAGGACTTATATTAAAGGGAGTGTTCACAATGAATGAAAGGACTGATATTAAAGGGAGTGCTCACAATGAATGAAAGGACTGATATTAAAGGGAGTGCTCACAATGAATGAAAGGACGGATATTAAAGGGAGTGCTCACAATGAATGAAAGGACTGATATTAAAGGGAGTGCTCACAATGAATGAAAGGACTGATATTAAAGGGAGTGTTCACAATGAATGAAAGGACGGATATTAAAGGGAGTGTTCACAATGAATGAATTATCTAATTATAATTAGGTGGTTTATAGTCAAGCCAGTTAATAACTAATCAAGGTTTTGGAATTCATTAAAAGGTGTTGAATTGATTAAAGGTAGTTGAATTGATTAAGGAAAAATTAAAAAAAACGGGTAAACAGTTGATTAGATAACTTATTTCTGAAGTGAAAAAGAAACTTCGTTTATAATTCATCAAAAAGGTAACTAATTAAATAGGTAACTAATTAAACAAGTCAACTAATTAAATAGGTAACTAATTAAACAAGGTAACTAATTAAATAGGTAACTAATTAAACAAGGTAGCTAATTAAAAAGTTAACAAATTAAGGTAACTGTTAAAAAAAGAGAACTAATTAAAAAAGTAACTAATAAAAAGGTAACTATTTAATAAGGTAACTAATTAAAGAAACTAATTAAAGTAACTAATTAAAATGTAAATAATGAAAAGGTAATTAGCTATATAGTAAGTAATTAAGCTTGTAACTAATGAAAAGGTAACTAATTAAAAAGGAAAGTAATTAAGGTAATTAATTAAAAAGGTAACTAATTAATGTAACTAATTAAAAGTTAACTAATTAAGGCAACTAATTAAGGTAGCTAGTTAAAGTAACTAATTAAAAAGGTAACTAATTAAGGTAGATAATTAAAGGAGATAGTTAAGGTAAATAATTAAGGTAAATACTTATGGTTACTAATTAAAAGGTAACTAATTAAGGTAACTTATTTAGGTAACTAAATAAAGTAACTAAATAAGGTAACTAATAAAAAGGTAAATAATTAAAGAGGAATCTAATAAAGGTAGCTAATTAAGGTAACTAATAAAGGTAACTAATTAAAAATGTGACTAATGAAGGTAGCTAATTAAGGTAACAAATTAAGGTAACTAAGTAAAAAGGTAACTAACTCAGGTAACTAATTAAGGTAACTAATAATATTTACTAATTAGGGTTACTAATTAAGGAAACGAATTGAGGTAACTGATTAAAAAGGTAACTAATGAATATAAGTTATTATAAAGGTAACTAATTAGGATAACTAATTAAGTGTGTATTATGAAAATCTCCTGTTTAACTATAATGTAAGTGAGGGTTCGTGAACTAGATAAATTCGACACCTAGTCTTACATTAGTTGATTAGTTCACGTAACAAACTATTGTCTAAAACTGAATTCAGAAATTTGGAAAAAAATCCCAATTATTTTTTATTGAAAAACAATTATCCTTTTCCCTGTATCCTATTTATCCTTCTCCCTGTATCCTCTCTATCCTTTTCCCTGTATCCTATTTATCCTTCTCCCTGTATCCTCTCTATCCTTCTCCCTGTATCCTCTCTATCCTTCTCCCTGTATCCTATTTTTCTTTTTCCCTGTATTCTCTCCATCCTTCTCCCTGTATCCTCTTTATCCTTCTCCCTGTATCCTCTCGATCCTTCTCCCTGTATCCTCTCCATCCTTCTCTCTGTATCCTCTTTATCCTTCTCCCTGTATCCTCTCCATCCTTCTCTCTATATCCTCTTTATCCTTCTCCCTGAATCCTCTCCATCCTTCTCCCTGTATCCTATTTATCCTTCTCCCTGTATCCTCTCTATCCTTCTCCCTGTATCCTCTCTATCCTACTCCCTGTATCCTCTCTATCCTTCTCCCTGTATCCTATTTTTCTTTTTCCCTGTATTCTCTCCATCCTTCTCCCTGTATCTTCTTTATCCTTCTCCCTGTATCCTCTCGATCCTTCTCCCTGTATCCAAATTAATGTACTCCAACCCACCCACCCTCATTAATTTTCTGTGAAAGCCTAAGGACTCCTGACCTTTCTCTCTCCCCCCCCCCCACCTCCTTTTCCTACCAATTCAAACATATGTCTAGTTCTAACTGGATATAAATATTATATTACGCATTGAATAATTATCATTTATCAAATCGTCACGCAATTATTCAGCTCAACGCCATGAATCCATTATAATGTCCAAACCAATACAGGCGTAGTACATTAAAATACAATCAAAGAATGAAAATTATTGAGTTTTGTTATTGTTACAGGGTTCCCAATAAACATAGGAATTAAGTGACGAACTCAAGATGATCTTTGTTTAGCATTGTAATACCTGATTTAAAACTTAAAAGTCATAATGTAATTATGTCTGCTTAAGTTTATTTTATGAAAACAGTAAATCTTAGTGGGCCGTATCACTACACTATAATCATAAATCATTTAAGAGACGAAATCATCACTCAATTCCCAAGTTTATTGGGACAGCCTGTATATATAGCCAGTGTCAAAAAATGTATTATGTGTATTGCGTATACTTGATCGAATGCAATTCATGTTATCTACAAACTATCAAATTGTCATACACTTAATAATAAATAAAGTAGGCAACGGCAACCGCAACAACAAATGCCTTAAGGGCAACGGCAACTGCAACAACAAAAGCCTGATGGACAAGGGCAACCGACACAACAAAAACCTGATGGGCAAGGGCACCTGCAACAACAAAAACCTGATGGGAAAGGGCAACTGCAACAACAAAAACCTGATGGGAAAGGGCAACTGCAATAACAAAATCCTGATGGGACAAGGACAACCGCCACAACAAAAACCTAACGGGCAAGGGAAACCGCAACAACAAAAACCAGGAAACATTTTAACCGACTATATGCGCCGATTGTAAATATGCCAGGTAAATAATTCTGGACTTAATTGTTCGACATTGGTTTGTCGGAGACTAAATGTTTGCAGGGAAGCCTGATGGACAAGGGCAACCGCAACAACAAAAAGCTTGATGGGCACGGGCTTTCGCAAAAAACAAAATCCTGATGGACACGAGCATCAGCAACAACAAACGTCTGATAAGCCAGGCAACAGCATAATCAGGAAGCCAACAGACCTGAATTGTTAAGTGCATTTGATAAATACACGCTTTTATCTGTAAAATGCATGATATTAAATATAAAGACTCGATAATTGTGTTTTAACAAGAAGTCATTTTTTCAGAACTTTAGAAATGAGAAAGTAGTAACTCATACTACAGGGTTACCCACAAGGAATGACAATTTAATGACGACATCTATAAATCTTTAAATAAAAGGTTAATCACAAAGGATGAGCCCGCAAAGACGACCGGAAATTCTCAAAATCTGATATTCTCAGGTTTAAGTTAAATCTTCTGCCTTAAAATAGTATTTTACGGCTTATTTATTGATTTTAATGAAACAAGATTAAATGTTGCAGGAGGGAATTATTAATATAAAGAAACATATAGTATAAATTTACTCAGTCGTTTCTGAAGTCTCATCCTTTGTAATTGTGGGTAATCCTGTATAGCAAACTTAAGGTTGAAATTTGTAGTTTGCCTTGTGTTGTTTTGTGCTGTGCTATGCTGTACTGTACTGTACTGTGCTGTGCTGTGCTGTGCTGTGCTATGCTGTACTGTCCTGTCCTGTGCTGTATTGTACTGTATTGTACTGTACTGTACTGTGCTGTGCTGTGCTGTGCAATGCTGTCCTGTCCTGTCCTGTGCTGTATTGTACTGTACTGTACTGTGCTGTGCTATGCTGTACTGTCCTGTACTGTACTGTACTGTACTGTACTGTGCTGTACTGTACTGTACTGTACTGTACTGTACTGTACTGTACTGTACTGTACTGTACTGTACTGTACTGTATTGTACTGTACTGTACTGTACTGTACTGTACTGTACTGTATTCAGACTTTGAATTATATATTAAATTAATTTACTACAAAAGAAACAAGTTTAAAGGAAATCATGAATCTAAGTAAAACATGATACAGGTTCCGTACAGTCGTTTCTGAATTTTCATCACTTAAGGTAACCCTGTACGTATTTTGTAAAAACGAAATCCATAAATAAATGTAACAATGAAAAAATTTCTTTGACAAAATTATAGTAATTACGAATAAATTGGTTTTAACCTTTTCTGAAAATGTCGGATAACAAGAACTTAAACAAGGGGAATGATCACGAAATTAGAGAGGGGGTGGTATTCACTACGGTTGTCCTCAGAAAAGACTGAACATTTGTTAGGGTTAGTATTATTTTCTCGTTAGCAATAGCATGGCTCCCTGCTGGGTACAGTTCAGTAAATTGAGAGGGGGGGGGGGCACTTAAATCAAAATATTTACAAGCTATGCTAGTTGCGGCAACATACAGCTTCAAAATCCCAACTCTTTAATTTATATTCATATTTGTTTTCTTTAAAATTTCACTTTTCACAAGAAACATGGATTTTATGTTCACTTTTCACTTCCTCGATCCTCACCTTAGAACTTAGAACACTCGAGTATATACAGGGTTACACACACATAATAAGACTTCAGAGACAATTTTAATTCGTTTCATTCATGTAATAACTCTCAGCAACTGTAAACAGGTTTTGTTTTTTGGCAGATCATTACATATACCCGTAAAAGACTACATTCAAGGCAGAAGATTTAATTCAACCTAAAATCGTCCTATTTTGGTCGTCTTTACAGTCTCATTCTTTGTGATTACAAAGACGACCTGAAATTTGATGATCAAATTGTATAATTGATTCTATTGCCCTGACGTTGGTATTTTGTTGCTTGGTTGATTATTTGACAAAGAAAGAAAACAGTTTACAGTCGTCTTTAGAGGGCAATCCTTTGCGTGTAACCCTGCTTGTGTAAATCTGTGTCTCAACTGATTTAATTTTAAGAAACTAAACATCTCGTTAGACAGGACAACACGCATATATTTTTATTTATTCAGTGCCATGTCTGTGTTAAGCTTTCAAGTACAGGGTTATACCTACAAAGAATGAGATTCAGTACTAAGGATCCGGATTCGGAAAATATCTTTCACATTTTCATAACTAATAAGGGTAGATAATTAGGGGAGCTAATTAAGGTAAATAATTAATGTACGAATTAAGGAAACTAATTAATGTAACTAATTAGTGTAGCTAATTTTCATAATTTTTGAACCACTGAAAAATTGTCTCAATTTTTTATTCCTTTTAATGCTAAATACTTGTTGAGCCATTAGCCTAGTTGTATTTTTTTAGTTGAAATTTGTGTTTTGAGACGAACAAGTTTTTGGTTGATATTTTGCCCCTGGATCCGGATCCGTTTATTTTTTCAGATTCAGATCCAGGGAAACCGAAATGTTGTAAATCCAACGGATCCGGATCCTAAACACGGCTTCAGACACGAAACTATGCAGAAATTATTCAGTATGTTTACTAAAAATCCTAGAACCCTCCCTGCATTCTTGTAAATTTCTTTGTCAAATTACTTAGTTTACGTTTAAAACTTTAAAAAATTTCAACTAGTCAAATCTCTACAGTTTAGGGTCGTCATTTAAGTCTACTGTTGTGGACAACCCTAAAAATAATACATAAATAAGTCTAGCAATATATAATTGTTAAATACATCTCACTTGAAATTGTTATTAATTACTAATCTTAATTATTAACTTCTCCAGGGTAGCAAAACTATACTTAACATAACAACTGCTTAACATAACATAACTGCTTAACATAACATAACTGCTTAACATAACATAACTGCTTAACATATACATAACATAACTGCTTAACATAACATAACTGCTTAACATACATAACATAACTGCTTAACATACATAACATAACTGCTTAACATAACATAACTGCTTAACATACATAACATAACTGCTTAACATAACATAACTGCTTAACATAACATAACTGCTTAACATACATAACATAACTGCTTAACATAACATAACTGCTTAACATAACATAACTGCTTATCATAACATAACTGCTTATCATAAACATAACTGCTTAACATAACATAACTGCTTATCATAACATAACTGCTTAACATAACATAACTGAACTGCTTAACATAACATAACTGCTTATCATAACATAACTGCTTAACATAACATAACTGCTATTTATTCATGAAACCTACAGATAAGAATTACCCTGAACCAGGGAATAGGAATAAAGACAAAAAGAAATGGCGCTGGTCTAGCATGAGAAAGCCAGTCGCACTGCTTTGCAGACCAGTACGGTAACCTAACACACACTCTTTTGGTACAGACACACAACATGATTACAGTCAAGGAAATTGCAGAACAATGTTGTCCTTGCCAATTATAATTAAGTTTGAATAACGACTATATTTATTGTAAACTTTGATCAAGTTATATTCTTTGCATGAAAATTTGGCTTTATAGTGTTGACTTAAATATATAAATAATATATTACATGCATTTTAAACTTATTTTTAAGTAAACAATTAACAATAAACAAATGTACTCTCCTAGACTGTACAAATACGAACTGTTTAAACCTACAGTACACACCTTTGGTACGGTAACCTTACACACTCTTTTGGTACAGACACACACACATGACGTTTCCGCCCCCTGCCCTGAATCTACTTTAGTCAGAATCTTATTGTTTTAGTATTATTATTTGTTTACAATTTTAATGGTTATAAAATACCAAGTTTTCTATTTTCATAATAAAACAAAACATATTTGAAATTGTTATTAAGTTTAGACTATTGAAAGAACTTTACCCAGAATATTTATTATAATTTTGATCAAAACTGACTCCTTAAAATAAATAAAATTTATTCAACAATATATTAAAAAATGCAACAATATGGCCACCACGTGAACATTCAAACTGTTACCAAGAGTTTTATATTTCTGTTTTCGAGTTGTTTCATCAGGAAAAGAAAATGTTTTAGGAAACCCCATCAATTGCGAAATTTCCGTAGGCGTGAAAAAACGCAATTTCAACTCTGATAAAATGCGTGAAACTTCTTCTGGGGAATCAGCAACACTTTCTGCTTGCGCATAGGCCGCGCTCCGGTCTCCACCTTGCTGCAATACACTTCCCGTTCCTGTAGAGTGGCAAAGTTTATTAAAATACAAATCAAATTTAAAATCAATAAGTTTTTAAGAAACTGTGAGCGCAATTTCAAGTGACAATGTCACAATGGTGGCCTTGAAACCTTCATCTGATTGTAGAAATGGAAAAGTAACTTGTTTACAAAACCACAATTGATCAATTTTCAAAATTTAAAACATTGTTATCTAATTTATACTTGATCAGACAAAGCTATAAGTGTACCGTTGTGAATCGGATCTTGCCATCTTTGAAAGAGAGTCACTTAAAATTTGGTTAATATAACATTATTATTACCTTCAAAGTAATGACCGTAAGCTTTAGTGAAACAACAAGTTCTGTGACTGCTCCTGTCCACAATATCTAGAACTTTACCATACTTTGGCAAGATCTTGTCATCTAGAAGATACTCATTAACATCTTCATCCTGTGCCTAACAGCGAAGAGTATCAATAAAAGCTCGTGCTTAAATACACGGTGTCCGACGAAACATGACGGTGGAAAGACGATTAGAAGGTCGTCTTTAATCGTTAAACAAATTTTCAGCGTTTTCCGTAAACTTAATTTTTAAATTCTAGAGTTAATTATTACAAAATACCCTTAGAAAGATGAAGATTGAAGAATTACATTCAGATTGAATTGAAATCTAAACGAAATTGTTAATATCTCCAAAAATACTAAGCACAAAATAGGCAGACCACATTTTGGAAATGCCAGGACTAGGAGAATTTTGGATGCTATCCAGTTTGAACTACTGACGTTTGAACTATTGATCGTTTAAACTATTGCTCGTTTGAACTATTGCTCGTTTGAACTATTGCTCGTTAACTACTGCACGTGGTACCACGTTTGTAGTTAAATCGACCAAAAGTTAAGCGACTTTGTTTTATGCTCATTTAAACTATTCTTTTATGTTATTCAAGAACTATCATTTGAGCATGAACATTGAATGTAAACACAATGCTTCAAATGAGTCTTAGAAATATTTCAAATTAACATGAAAATAGTTCAAATGAACAAAAAATAGTTCAAATAAACAAAAAATAGTTCAAATAACAAAAATATAGTTCAAAATGAACCAAAAAAAGTTCAAATGAACAAAAAATAGTTCAAATGAACAAAAAATAGTTCAAATTAACAAAAAAATAGTTCAAATAAATAAAAAAAGTTAAAATGAAAAAATACTTTTTTGGTTCAGTAGAACAATTTTCTGTTCATTTGAACTACTAGCCACAGCGCTAGGACTCTAGCCTGTCCTAGCCCCAGCACTCGGCCCAGAAATTGTCTTAACCTAACCTAACCCAGAAATAATAAATATATTTGAACTAGTTTTTGGTTCCGTTGAACTATTTTTGTGGGCATTTGAAATATTTTGTATTTCAACTATCAACTGAATTTTTTTATACATTTGAACTCCAAGCCGCAGCGCTCGGCCCAGAAATAGTCTTAACCCAGCCTGACTCTGATTTAATACACACATTTCAAACTATTTTCATGTTCATTTGAACTATTTTGAAGTTCATTTGAAAACTGCCGATAATCCAACAAAATAGTTCAAATGAGCAAATAGTGTGTTAATTTGAACTACAGGATATGACGTCATGTCAGTAGTTTAAACGACCAATAGTTCAAACGGCAGAAACAGAAATCCATCGAATTTTGTGGTTGGTGTTTCAAGGCATACCTAATTCTGAAAACTAAATCTCATTATTTCTTTCCATGAATTATAAATGAAAAAATTTAAAGGTTTACAAGATTTCCAACAAAAGTATGAAAGAAATGATCTTCCTCGTAATTGGGAACTTTCTATGGTATTAAAACTTTAAAAGCTGTACTTTAATTATATTAAAAGAATTCTAATTTCAGCTACCCACCTGTAATTCAAAGGAAAAAGAAGAAAAGCCAGATTTAATATTTCAATAGAACTAACTTCCATTACAAAAAGTTTTTAAATTGGTTCACCCCCCCCCCCCCTATTATTATTCCTAAAGTGAGACCCATACAACTAGGAGATTGAAAACGACAGTTAACCTCCAGGGGTGTATATTAGTTCTAAGACTCATAGTTTTGCCCCCTCCCCAAAGCTGAGACTTGAAAAGGTCAACCACCAGGTTCCCACTTCACACTAAATTCTTATTTTTTTCAGTTATGAATGAACACAATGACAGACAAGCTTTTTAAAGGGGAAACATGATATTGCAATTGAGGGAAAAAATATGATATTTTTTCCCCCAAAAAAGGTTTTGCTTTGTTTCCTGTGTGAACGTCCAAAACTAGGAGATAAAAAAAGAAATTCCCTCTTTTTCCTTCCCCTATTCCTTAAAATATCATATTTTTCCCAAAAAAGGATTGGCATAGTTTCCTGTGTGCCAAAACCAGCGGATAACAAATAAATTCCCTCTTTCCTCCTTTTCTCTTCTGTCTTCCCCCTTTTTTCCCCTTCCCTCTCCCCCCCTTTTTTCCCCTTCCCTCTCCCCCCTTTTTTCCCTTCCCTCTCCCCCCTTTTTTCCATTCCCTCTTCCCCATTTTTTCCCCTTCCCGTTTCCCGTTTTCTGTTTTTATCAAAAATCCCCCCCCCCACCCACACTTAAAAAGCTAATTTTTTGGGGGCAAATGAAAAATATTCATTCCTGTTAGATTCAAATAGTCCAATGAAAATGAAACATGGAAAAAACCATTTTTCACTTAAATAAATTGAATTTCAAGCTACTAGTAAAACTATTGGCAGTTCGCATCATATAATCAAGATTACTTAAATGTCGTCTTCCTATTCCATAGTTTATGGGACCAATGTCATATATCTTGTCGAAAAAGAAAAGTAACAGAAAACAAAAAAAAAAGAAATAAGAAATGCAATACTGTTCGTTTCCTGCAGAAAGCTGTCCAAAGATCCAGAAGCTTGATTCAATCCCAGCTTTTCAACAGATATCTTCAAACTGGAGAAATCAGTGTGTAATCTTGCTACATTGTGTTCATTGATTATCACGTTACCGTCTTGGCTAGTCACGTTACATTCCTTGTTTGTCGCGTTACCAGCAGAATTGTTTTTTACATTGCATTCATCGATTGTTACGTTACTTTCGCAAACTGTCATGTTACTTTCTAGTTCCGTCAAATTCTTATTAACTTTACTATCACTTGTTTCGTTGTCCGATTGCACGTTCAGGACGCAGTCTTGTTCAGTTGGCAAATGCGGGTCTGATCCCCATGAGACGCATCCTTTCCTTGCTACCAGATAGTATCTAAGCCTGGAGTTAGGAATATTAAGTTGGTTTGGATTAATGAGGAACTCCTTCCAGTAAAACCCTTCACCAGAGAGGGTTGCTAGAACCAGATCCCTAGACTCACTACTCTCAAATCCTGATAAGGAATTTTCTTATCCCAATATCTTTGCAGCCTGATGTGGTAGACCTTAGATATTTTAAACTATAAATTATGTTAGATCTAATAACCCAATTAAGTTTAAAATTTCTAAGGTCTACGACATAGGTTGCAAAGATATAGGTATAAAAAATCCGAGATTGTGGCAAAGACTCAAATCCTTAAAGTTTATTTTTTAACTCATCCATGTATTGAAATTCTTAAAAATAAAAATATTAAACCCTAAAACAGAAAAAACTTTTATGGCACATTTTTAAACAATTGTTTATCATTCTGATTGCATGCAGGCTGAATTTGAAAGAAAAACACATATATTAAAGTTCTTAAGCTTCAAAATACAAGATTTCTAGGGAAGGGGGATTGTGCCTCTAAGCCCCTTGTATAGTTTACCTTGAACATTTTCAAGCAGAACATACTTTAAGCTTGGAACTTCAGGAATTAACTGAAGAAGATGTTTCAAGCCGTCGCTCCGCGGATCCTACCATACCAAACCATATACATATACTCAACCCGAGCCAAATCTAACCAAACCAAACCAAATCCAATCAAACCAATAGTTATACATACACTCAAAACAATTTACCAAACCAAACCAAATCCAACCAAACACCAAACCGAACAAATTTATAATCTATAATTTCACTCTAAACAAAATGAACTAAAAATTATCCAAAAAGAATATCTTCGATAAAGAATATTAAGGTTTGGTATGGTCCTGTATATCCCTGCGCTTCCCTTGCCTTGTGTGGGGTTGACAGGGAGGAGACATTAACAGTATATCAGGTCTAAACACAGAATATCAAGTCTAAACACAGAATATCAGGTCTAAACACAGTATATCAGGTCTAAACACAGTATATCAGGTCTAAACAAAGAATATCAGGTCTAAACACAGAATATTAGGTCTAAGCACAGAATAACAGGTCTAAACACAGAATATCAGGTCTAAACACAGAATATCAGGTCTAAACACAGAATAACAGGTCTAAACACAGAATATAAGGATTAGACACAGAAAATTAGGTCTAAACACAGAATATTAGGTCTAAACACAGAATAAGAGGTCTACACACAAAATATCAGGTCTAAACACAGAATATCAGGTCTAAACACAGAATAACAGGTCTAAACACAGAATATCAGGCCTAGACACAAAATATCAGGTCTGAACACAGAATATCAGGTCTAAACACAGAATATTAGGTCTAAACACAGAATAACAGGTCTGAACACATAAAATCAGGTCTAAATACAGTATATTAGATCTAAACACAGAATTTCAGGTCTAAACATAGAATATCAGGTCTAAAAATAATTTCAAGATTTTATTCCATCACTGTGCAATAATTCAAAATTTGCAAGCTCTCACGCAAAATTTGCTAGCTCTCACGCAAAAATCTATGAGAATTTTGCCAATACTTCTTAAAAACATAAACTAACCAAGTGTGATATTCCCAAACCCAAAGGTTCGCCCCATTAGTATAGTTTAAATTCTAAATGTAAAAAAGTATGTTTTTGAAATTATGAAAAGCTTAACACAATTCAAGGTTTTAATAAACTTATCTGTTGAACAGCTAGCTATTTTAGGATCTTTTTAGGAAAACAATTGCCAACTATCCACCTGATTTTTTTGATATCCTTCGCAGTCAGTCCCTTGATATCCCTTTGCCAGTGCGTTGTATCCGGATGATTGTGTCTGATATCCAGAATATACATTTAAAATACCCTGTACAGTGTACTGTACATTGTACACTGCACTGTACATTGTACACAAATACTTTTCTAAAAATGTGCGCACAAAATAATTCCTAAATAATTATTTGGTTTATATTCTAAGATATATTATTTATTAAAGGAACATCAGGCGTAATTTAAAGAGGAACTCCCCATTTCAAGAGGGACATGTTCAATTCACAACTGTACCCTTGTAACCTTTATATAACAATGTAGAAGATAATGTAGTTTTTCTAGCATTGTAAACTGTTAAATTTTGATTAAATTCAGACATGCACAAGTCACTTTAGTAGAGAAACCAAAATTGAAAATAATCATTTTTCAAAATTATAAACTTGGATATCTAATTTATGCTTGATCAGACAAAGCTTTTAGGGGAATAGTTGTGAATCGGAAATGCTACTCTAGACAAGGACTTTAGGCCACTTAAAATTATATCAACAGACCCTTAACCCTATCTCTGCTGGGGTACTTGAAAACAAGGATATGCTGGGGGGGGGTCAATTTGCCCCCCCCCCCCTCTAAATCCCATGTTTGATGTCCAAATATGACAAATGATACATCATTGGAAATGTTTGCAAAAAAAAATTTGTCCAAAAAATGAAAAATTATACATTTTTGAAAAGCCCTTGACCATGCCATTTCAAATATGCAAAAATTTTTGCAAAATTTTAAATAACCTGATTTTTAATCAAGAAAAACTAAAAATGTGCAAATTTCCTTTGACAGGTTGTTTGCAAATGCAGTTCGTTTCCTTATGTCAAAGGCTTTCCAAAAAGCTAAATTTTATTAAAATCTGACAAGTGGAAGAAGGTCAAAACAAAGATTTAGTTTGTTACAGGAAAAAGCAGTCATTAAGGCAGTGTGCCTGAGGACTCAGGCAGTTAGTATTAAAGCCCGGTTTTAGGCCTAAAGGGAGGGCTGTGGGTATGTAAGAAAAGTCAGAAAATTTCAACAGCCTCAGACTAATACTTTTTGAGTTATGAAAAAACCCAACAAGGGGGGGGGTCAAATTAACCCCCCCCCCCCCCAGCAGGAATAGGGTTAAAGTCCTAGAGAAGAAAAATAATATTAAATTAAAAAGAAATAATCAATAATAATGTTGAAAATAATATGGTTTTCGGACAATTGCATACTATGAAAAAAATTATGATTAAAAAAGAGAAAATTAATATTTAATATAATGTTCTGTGTTTATATGCTTGGCTTCACTAATTTTTTTTTATTATAATGATGAAAGTATTGATAATTATGGAGTTATTAAAATTATAATTTTAATAATTCCATAATTCAATTCAATTTATTACAAAAGAGCTTACATCCTTATGGAAAACAATAAAAAACATTTAATCAAAATTTTTTTCAAAATAAATTTGTTTCGCAGATTTCCAAATATTTTTTAAAATTTTCTAAATCACATTTTTATGCCTAAAATCTGAACAAAACATAATTTTTAAAAAGGTTGTCAAAACATCGATAATCCCGTTTTTGATCACCCTGTATATTATATACATATAAGGAAGATCTTTATTATATAGATAATACTGTTCCCGATCCCAAGAATGATACTGTTAATAATATTGATAATAAAAACAAGTATCAAATTCATAAAATTAACAAGAAAAATGAATAAGACATCTTTTAAGTAAAACTAATTTCCTAGAGATGGTTAATTCCATAAAAATAATCCGCTCCCCCCCCCCCCCTCCCCGGCTTTTATTAAAAAGGCAATTTCTTTTCAAAGAAAATCTCATTTTGTAGTTACTTGGACAGTTTTGATTAGTTTTAGTAGAAATATAGCTCACAAGATTTTCATCAAAATAATTGATATTTTGCTGAACTCTAACTCGACTCACGTTGATTTAATCAACTTCTTTAGAAATAAGATTTCTTCTAATTTTCTTTTTTTGGCACATTGATGTCAAATGTTGCATTAAAGTGGTTGTTATTAAGACTTAAAGGGTCTGTAAGCGTAATTTCATATGACCCTCCACGTAAAAAAGGCAATGCTTTGTCTAGTTGATCAAGTATGAAATAAATACTAATGTTTATGATGTTTAAAACTTATTATTTTCAATTATGCTTTCTCTACAAAGTAACTTGCGCAGGAAAACATATGGAAATTAACAGAATTAAACACATTCAAATTAAGAAAAACGACAATATCTTCCACATTTTTGATCAAATAAAGGTTTCAAGGATACCGTTTTGAATCGGGGAGTGCCATCTTTACATGAAGGGACACTTGAAATTAAGCTTACAAAATCTGTTTTAAAAAGGATGTGTAAGGAATCTTGATTAATTATGACTATTTTGACACTGTTTCTAACCAATGGAATTGAGTTAAAAAACTGAAAATCTAATGATCCATTCGATCTCAAGGTGAAATCGAAAAATTAAAACTTTAAAGGGACAAACCGAGAAAAACTTTAATACACATAAAATCTAAAAAAATGTTCGTTATGGTAGGTAGATTCCCAATTAAAAACATTCGATCTAAATGGGACACCAAATAACTGAACTCATTTTATCTTTAATTTCTTCGTTTCAAAACTTCATTTAAACTTAAAAGAATAAACTTAAGAATATCTGAAAGGTTCTTGCGAAATAAATTAAACTAACAAAGGGGGGGGGGGGGGCCACAAAACGTATTACTCTCCGGAAAATTTAAACAGTGTTTAAACATAACTTAGAATTGTCGTAGGAGGCTGATTTTTTGCATGCAAACTCAGAATTATGTATATTACGTGCATTTTTTGGTTTTGAAGGAATCTGAGCAAAAGTGCGTGCGCGCGCGCGTTTTTTGTGAAAAAATGCGACTTTTTTGACAGTAAATCAATGTTAACTTCATTAATTGCACTTGAAAATTTTTCCTGACACTCTTGAAACAAATATGCGCTAAAAAAATTCAACCCCAAAGGCTTAAATGTCCGCGCGCGCGCGCAATAAAAGAAAATATCTTTGTATACTAANGCAATTAATGAAGTTAACATTGATTTACTGTCAAAAAAGTCGCATTTTTTCACAAAAAACGCGCGCGCGCACGCACTTTTGCTCAGATTCCTTCAAAACCAAAAAATGCACGTAATATACATAATTCTGAGTTTGCATGCAAAAAATCAGCCTCCTACGACAATTCTAAGTTATGTTTAAACACTGTTTAAATTTTCCGGAGAGTAATACGTTTTGTGGCCCCCCCCCCCTTATAAACTATGAACCTCGAAGCTTTCTCAAATATAAAGAATTAATGAATGCAAAAACTAAAAACTTGAAGAAAGGGATTTCAAGTATTTAATAGAGTTAAGATTGCAATCAACGATTCACAACGGTACCCTATAAGGCGTTGTCTGATCAAATATGCATTATTTATCAAATAGAGTATGAAGTACAATAGATGGCAACGTAGAATTTGTACACTATCAGTACAGCTGTATTTTTACGTCACAAGCTTCAACTCAGTTTTTGTGTCCGACAAAATTATAGATATAAGATAATAAAGGGCTTATCTTAACAGTAAAATAAGTGCAATTTTGTGTTCTTTATTTTCTGTTTTTACACTTTTTTATTTAATCTTGGAAAACATGTCAACTAATGGGAGAACATGTTGTCTTCCTTGTTATATTTGACACTTGTGACGTTGTGTATAATTTGTTCATTTCTCTGTTGCCACCTATTGTACTTGATAATCTATTTAATCTATATCAATGTTTAAAATTTTTAAAGTTGATTATTTTCAATTGTTGTTTCTCTACAAAAGAGACTTACGCATTTGTAATGCAGGAAGACAAACAGGAAAATCGGTCATTGTCATCTCAGCCTGAAGGGTCAATAAAATTACGTTAACACTCCTTTAAAGTAACGTTTTGGTTGTTTTAGACTTCCAACATAATTTTTTTTTACAACTGATAAAAGAGAACATATTATTACAATCAAAATGTATATTTCCTGTAGATAGCGTTGGCTGAAGTATTAATGTCAACTGCAGCAACAACATTTAGTTTTGTTCCACACTCAACACTCTCAACTAATTCACAGGCTCTATGCATTCCTCCAATACCAGAGAAAAGTTCTAAAACCCTTAATTCATCAACTGCACTGTCCGACATTTTGTGTATTTCTGAAAATAATTAAGAATTTTAAAATACAGATAAAAAGCGTTTTATTCAGGTCTCACTGGAATATTACATAACCAAGGAAAATTCACATTAGCAAAAATAACGAAATATTTTCTGTTAACTTAAGCTTTGATGACACTATTGAAATCTTGAACTCTCCAACTTATGCGTAAAAATGATTAAAATAATACATTATTAACAAAAGATTTAGATTCGTACGATATTGAGAACATGTGAATGTGAAATTAGCTGTAAGCTGAACTTTACATTTTGTAGATGGAGGATATACTTATTTCCCTTTGCCTTTGCCCTTTGGAGCCTTGCTAGCCTTGGCGGATCCTTTCTTTCCTTTGTCCTCGTCCTTCTTTCCCTTGTCTTCATCCTTCTTGCCTTTGGTTGGTTTCTTGATCTTGATCATAGCATCAGCTTCAATACTATCATCTTCAGCCTCATCCTCATCCTCTCCATCATCCTTCAAAATAGAATTGGTTTCAAGATTATCTTCAGTCTCGCCTTTATGATAAGCGACGTAAATTAAAGTGATCCTTGGTTTAAAAAGATTCATGCCATCTTTACAACAGTACCTTGAACAGACGAGAAAGAAAATTGACAGATTTTTTTTATACAAAAAACTGCATTATCTCTTTCAAAGTCTTTAGGGTCACTTGAAATCATGCCGACAGTCGAATTAAAACGCCGACATTTTAAATCTTTCTTCGTCTTTCTTCACTTCTTCTTTCTCAATGAGAAATTAACCACTTATAACATGGTTTATGTTCTGCTTAGAAAAACAAGTAAAAAAGACAGGTTAAAAGTTTACCTCATCTCCAATTCCATCTGTTGACTCCTTTGCCTTCTTTTTAACGTTCTGAACTACGGAGTAGGGAAGCATAGCGTTGTCCTAAATACAATGGAACAGTTTTATTGTTAGCAAGGGTACATATTTTCTTGAAAACCCATTTCCCCCTCGCGTATCAAAAGTTATACATTTTTTACTTTGAATTGGACAAGGAACATTTTAGTATACATTTTTTACTTTGTATTGGACAAGGAACATTTTAGTATACATTTTTTACTTTGTATTGGACAAGGAAAATTTTAGAATACATAATTTACTTTGTATTGGACAAGGAACATTTTAGTATACATTTTTTAAGGGATGTTGTCCCTTCATTGAGACAATCAATAACATTTTGTGCAGGCTAAAAGTAAATTTTCAACCCCCTCCCCCCGGATCAGGGACAAGAAGGGTTATACATTCTCCTGTATTTAAGTTAAAAATAATAATTTCAAATAAATTACTTATATTGACTAACCTTGTTGTATTTCCTGGTGAAAGCAGCTTTAGTTTTACTCTCCACGTGTTTGAGTATATCAGGTCTATCTGGCCACTGGGTCACTTCTATTAGTCCATCCAGGTCCTCTCTAGATTTAAAGGGACTGTATAAGTGACTTACAAGGTTTCTGCTTGGAAAAACAAGGGAGAAAAAAACTTTTTAAGATGGCAAAACAACGATTTCTTCCACATCAGTTACAGATCTGAAGGGTGCCGTTGTAAATCAGGCATGCCCCATTCTTAAAATTGAGTTTAGCTTGAAATTATCACTCATGGATCAAAACATTTAATATTTATAATTAAATTTGTTTATGAGATGAGATCTGCTAGAAGCCCCATCTTGGGCAAACCAAACCGCCTACAGGAATATCCGACCCGTACCGCGGTAAGAAAAATAATATAAGAGTTAAAGCAAATAGATTGAAGAGGTTTTAGCTGAAACATTTTATTCCCATTTTACTTAGACCTAATAAAATATTTTTTTTAAAAAAATAGGGTCCAAGAATAGACCCTTTTATATCCCCCCCCCCCCGGACTATCTAACCTAAGAAGAGCATAGGTTTCCATATTCTGAACAGCAGCATCTACCCCCTCGCTGCCTTCACTTCTCAAAGGCCGTGTTATAAAATCCCTAAAAATAAATAATTCCTTAAAGTTTAAATTCTATTACATATCTACAACTGTAAAAGGAAATCGTGCAAGATCTATCGAAAATGACCGAAGACAGTTCCAAAAATTTCGATTTAAGAGGATCTCGTAAGGTTTGGATCGAATTAAAAAAATTTTTTATTAAAAAATCCTTAATTGTCAGGAAATACTAGAATCAAGAAAAAAGTATAGGAATAGATAAAAGGATAATTTTGATATGCATAAAGAAAAACTTTACCGCTGTGCCAACAGATAAATTTAACATGAACAAATAGAAATTAAAACTAGAATCCAGGAATGTATATTAAGTATACCTCAAAGGTTGACTGTAGTCCAGATTAAATGCCGTTTTATTCACTCCGCAGGTCAGTCTGGTGTGCATCTGTAACTCCTTAATCATAACAAAATATTAATTAAACTTATCATCTTTATGAATTGGTATTATAAAGCAATAAAGCTATTAGAAATAGCCATCAGAGAACAGAAATGTTTATCAATTGAGCAGTTAAAAACGCACATTAAAACTATCAGAATAAATCAAATCAAAGCAAAGCACTGCATGCAAGTATAAAAATCAGTCAAGCCAGAAACAGTTAAGCCCAAGAGATAACAGGTAGACCAAAGAAGAAGAAAAAACAGGCCTGAAAAAAAAGAAGTTAGGCCAGAGAAAAGAATGGTTAAAGCCATTAAAGGGAGTGACCGGAAATGTATAGTAGTAGAACCGAGAGTATAGTATTGTGGAGAAATTTTTTAGGAATCATTTGAGACCTATGAGACGTTTTGACAGTGCATATTTGTTCAGCAAGAGCGCAAAAACAATTTTTCAAGTCCTTAAAGACTTCATTTTTCAGGGATGATTTTGAGAATCGGGGTTTAAACAATTATTAATTATTAATAATTAATTATTATTAATAACGAAAAAAATAACACAAAATTAACTTCTTCAAAAATCTATATTTTTATAATATTCCATTTATTAAATTCAGCAGGCAACGCCGGGCACTTCAGCTAGTAATAAATATATTATTGTAGTTAATCAATTTATATAAAAAAACCTGAAGAATTCGATCCATCTTGTTTCGTCGGCTGTTTTTCCCCAGCCACGAGGGAAACTGTATCTGTCCATGCAGGAATCCTTCAAATATTCTTATCTACAGCTATGTACAGTGATAACCAGAAAACTCTGGAATAGGAAGTCGACTTTTAGACTCAAGTTATGACTTTTACCACCAAATGTGCATTGTAAACAGACCCAATTCACTTGGAAAGTGATTTAATAACTTACTAGTTTCGCTATGTAACAACATCAAATGCACTTAATATTGCTTTATCGTCTTCCTATTCTACAGTATTCTGGTCATCTCTGTATAAAAAAAGAAACATAGAATAAAAACTGTAAAAAAGTTAGAACGGAAAATATATAATGCAATAAAGAAATGGAAGGTGGTAATTGTAAAAAGCTAGAAAATTAAATACCACATAGACCCTTCCCCCCTCATGAGCTCAAGAATTCAATATAGTTCCGAGAATGCAGGGTTCGGAAAAATAGTCCTTTCTTGTAAATTGGCTGATTACAAGGACATCCAAAAATTTATTTCTTTTTATTTTCAAAATTGGCCAAAGTATGACTCAAGGATGGACGATCAAGAAAAATATAAATCTCAAAGCATTTTCATCTGATATCATAAAAATATTTAAAATATTGTAAAATTTAAATCAAATAAATTATTTAAGTTAAAAAATACCACATAAATTGTGAAATGGCACTGAAGGGAGGGAAACCGAAAGACTTAGCATACAAGTCAAATTTAAGATGAAAATGATTGTTTTAAGCGAGAATAAAAAAGGAAGTAAGTTATAAAAATTAAATGAAAATTGAATTAAATAAATTCAAAAGTAATAAAAGAAAAAATAACGCGACAATACTTAAAAATTGACTTAGGAAGATTTAAACTCTTCCTTTGGAGCTCTTAAAAATAAAGTGAATTTTTTAAAGATTTTTTTAGAAGAACATATTTTCCATACATGGAATAGTGTACATTGTAAACCTGTAAAATGGAAAACAAGTGGACACTATGTTTTAAAAACAACATATTGTGCATGCCCTTGATAACATTTTTCGGTTCAGAATAAAAAGAAAGTTTACAAAGTTACTCGGAACTTGGCAAGCAGGTTTCATTTTCAGACAAAAACAACCTCCAATGAAGTTCTTAAATGTTAATTATTAAATAAATTCAGCAGAAGTTTCATAAAACAAGCAGCCATGTTAAAATCAAGTTTTAAACACAAATTATTCATAATAATTTTCTATATCCAAAGGTAGATTAGATGATAAAAATTCTATTAAACTTTTAATTAACTTTTTAAAAAGAAGAATAAAAACTTTTGCTAAGTTTTCACTCTGCCTGCTTTAAAAATTATCCCATCTTTTAAATCAAAGCTCCAAACTTATAATTAAATGGGAATAAAAGTTTGTAACTCGTCAAATATTTACTTATTCGATGATACACTGATAACAAAAAACTGTGGAAGACGGATTTTAACTCAAGTTATGATGTCAAACTTCTAATAAAAACGTTTTCGTTGGAACAAAATCAATTACACTTAAATACTTTTTTTATGTCGTTTTACTATTCCAAGGTTTTCTGGTACTCACTGTATTAGTTTTTTTTTTGCTGCAGTTGGGAGGATTTACATTTAAAAAATCAGAAAATTTATAGAACACACAGTGACTAAACACATTTGTGAAGGAGGAAGTTAATATTTGGCCCATTATTTACTATATTTTGTAGTTTAAGATGGCCAGTATCTAGCTGACGGAAGACTTGGTACTTGAAAAATGAACGCCCACAAAGGATGAAACTTCATAAGACGACTGTGCAGAATTTAGTCTGTTCTCATATATTCATGATTCCCGACAACTGTATACTAGTTTCTTTCTTTGTGTGTAGCCCCGTATATGCCAAATAAAGAAGTTTAAGAGAATTTTTGAAAATGTTCACTTTTCTGATTTTTGTAAGGACACCCTTAATTATTGTTCCGAGATCTATAACGTTGCTACTACCTGAAATATACTCCCCAGGTAGGACGGAGTTAAAGATTGCCGCAGTAGGGAGTAGAGATCTATAACGTTGCTACTACCTGACATATACTCCCCAGGTAGGACGGAGTTAAAGATTGCCGCAGTAGGGAGTAGAGATCTATAACGTGGCTACTACCTGACATATACTCCCCAGGTAGGACGGAGTTGAAGATTGCCGCAGTAGGGAGTAGAGACCAATTCATTCCAGATCTTATACCTATTTTAAGTAATATCTATATTATCATTTCAGAATATCAGGAACAGGAATTGAACAACGCCCCAGAGGGTTGGATAACCAGGTCATCACCATGGGGTAAGCGAATCACCCCCCCCCCCGTCATCATTAAAATGGTCAAAATAATAATTATCATTATATTCATGCAATCATGAAGGAGCAGAGACCATGGTTCAACCTCCTTGATTTTATTAATTACTTAAATTTAAAGGGAATGTTCTCAAAACTTTAGTTGTTGACATTTTTGTAATTTATCATTACTATTTTTATGTTGCCACACAAATTGATATCAAAGCATTGTAAGTCTAAAATCGTGTAGTTAAAACTTTAACTTATTCAGAATGGTAAGGATCTATTGCTTCTTAGATCAGGTATTCACCGCCATTTTTCGTGAACACTCCCTTTAAGCTGACTTTTTACCTCGTTCAACAATATCTCCTTCAGCCAGAGAGCTGGCAGTCCTAGAGATCAATTCCATGGTCTTTCGCTTGTTCCCACCAGTGGCCTTCAAATCAAATCAAATCAAATCAAATCAAATCAAATCAAATCAAATCAAATCAAATCAACTAAATACCTAAACAGAACATAGTCTTATGATCCTCTGCACTAAATACCTAAACAGAACATAGTCTTATGATCCTCTGCACTAAATACCTAACAAAACACCATCTTATGATCCTCGGCACTAAATACCTTAACAAACCATATTTTTTTTCAAGATAACTTAAAAAACAGTATTTTTTTCAGCATAACTTGCAAGTTAAGTGCAGTGAGCACCAAACTTTTCTTAAGATTTCTTACGATGCTTTATCTTTACATTTTTGTTTTATAAAGTGCAGACTGCATAGTTATTAGTTTTTTATGTTTAAAAAATCATAACTTTATACCTTTTTACAAACATCCCAGGGACCCATCTTGACAGAAGTTTTCTTGGACATGTCTGCTTCCTTCTTAGCTGTGGCAGCATCCATCTTCTCATCATGTTCTCCAGCTCTATACACGCACATGGTCAAGGTCAAGGTCAAGGTCAATGTCATGGCCAAGGTATTTTAATTGTCATGATCATTGCCGTTGTTATTGTTATGGTCATGGTCAAGGAAAGATCATGGTCTTAATTTTTATGATTGTGATTTAGGTGATGGTGAAGGTAAGGGTCATGGACAAGTATATCGGTTTTTTTTTTAATGGCCAAGATAATAATTATGGTAACGGTCCAAGTTAAGGTCATGGTCAAGGTCAAGGTCAAGGTCATGGTTAAGGTCAAGGTCATGGTAAAGCCCAGAAAACAGTTCAGATGGCGAGGATGTTGGGTAAATAAATCTGGAGTTCTGATGTTCGACGGAGACTAAATGTTTGCAAGGCGGTCATTGTCAAGTTCATGGTCAAGGTAATGGTCAAGTTCACATACATATTCATGTTTCAGGTGAACGTTAACTAAAAAATCATGTCAACACCGAGCAGTTGTTGATGTCATGGCCATGGTAAAATCAGGGCCAACAGTAATAAGGTCAATTTAACTGTGAAATTTATAAAACTTACTTTATCATGGATAAATGATGAAGAACCTGACGGATATCTTGTCCACATCTAAACAAGTTCAGTTAAAAAATACTGTGCAAAATTCTACTTCAATAATTAAAGTAAGTGTAAAAAAAACCTAAATTACGACTTTAAAACTACATGAGTAACTAAAAATAAAGTTGCCTAACATTTTGAAAATATATAAAAAAAAAAAATGAAAAAGTTTGAAATATGAAATATGATGCAAAAATTTGGTTAAAAATATTTTACCCAATAATTAGTTCTTGCAGGGCATCTGGTTTTATCTTTATCTTTTCCTACACGTCAGAATATATTAGTTTATTCCTGATAAATATTTACAAAATCATTCAATCTTCATTTCTCAGCGTTTTTTAATGAAATAAACAAAAACATAAAAAAATTAAATCTCAAAAAAAGTAACTTTACTAACAAGTTAAAAACTAATATTTTCCTTAAAGCAGACAGAGAGCATTGCGGCTTTAATCTGCTCAACACGTGGCCGCTGGAACCTAGATAAACAAAATAAACAATATGGCGGCTTTAATCTGCTCCACACGTGGCCGCTGGAACCTAGATGAACAAAATAAACAGTATGGCGGCTTTAATTTGCTCAACACGTGGCCGCTGGAACCTAGATAAACAAAATAAACAATATGGAGGCTTTAATCTGCTCAACATTAGGCCGCTGAAACTTAGATGAACAAAATAAACAATATGGCGGCTTTAATCTGATTAACATGTGGCCGCTGGAACCTAGATAAACAAAATAAACAATATGGCGGCTTTAATCTGCTCAACACGTGGCCGCTGAAACCTAGATAAACAAAATTATCCATATGGCGGCTTTTATCTGCTCAATACGTGGCCGCTGGAACCTGGACAATACAAAATGAACAATATGGCAGCTTTTATCTGCTCAACAAGAAGCCGCTGGAACCTGGACAATACAAAATAAACAATATGGCGGCTTTCATAACCAAAACTCGAGGACAAAAAAGCAAAAAAAAACTTTCCGAAAAAAGTACAATGATAAATAAGGTTATGAAAGGCTATTTATTGGTCAATAACAATGAAAATGAGTGAAAAATACATAAAGATAAAACTTTTCTAATTTAGATAATCAGGATTTAATTCATTCGAGAAAAAATAGAGAAACATTAAATCTAAAATAAAAATATCATATCTTTTACCTAAGATCAAAACAATGGTTTGCAAGGCTTCTTATCTTCTGATGATTTCTGTCATTACACATGGCTATCACTGGCACCTGTAAAATGTGCAGTTTTTTATTTAGGTATTAAGGTTTCTTTCACTTAATTGGGGAAAATAGATATTTTTTAGGGGAAAATAAATGAATTTTTAAGTAAAAAGTATTAAAAAAAAATGAAAAAAATTGTTTTTTGAAGTCCAATTTATCATTTTTACCCCCCAAATCATTAAAACTCATTAATCAATTGAACATGGGTCAACCATTTGGCTGTGGACATAATTTCAAACTGAATATTGTTTGAACCTTGAAAAGAAATAGGAGAAATTTTAAACCCGAGGTAACAGGAGCCTGCTTTTTGCATTCAATTTTATATCTGGTTGCTCTCAGCAACATTTGAGAAACAACTTCTTAGAGTGACTTCAATGATCACAAAAATCTGGCTGCATTTATTAACCACTGATATCAGTATCTTTTGGACTTACTTTTGCTGTTTTTAGAAGAGCGATCAACTCTGCGATCCCTCCACGATCCTCATTCCCTGCCATCCCATCCACTTCATCCATAAGGAGGACTCGTTTAGAGGTCACCTATGTTACAGGTCAATGAGACTTTATTCATGCATGTTTACAGTCAGCCAAAAAAAAGTAAAGCTTGGTGGGAAAAAAGTAAAGCTTGGTGGAAAAAAGTAAAGCTTGGTGGAAAAAAAGTAAAGCTTGGTGGAAAAAAAGTAAAGCTTGGTGGAAAAAAAGTAAAGCTTGAAAAAAGTAAAGCTTGGTGGAAAAAAAGTAAAGCTTGGTGGAAAAAAAGTAAAGCTTGGTGGAAAAAAAGTAAAGCTTGTGGGAAAAACAATAGTACATCTAATTGTAAGTTCAAGTATCATGTAGCACAAACCATTACTCTGTATATCGGTGTATCGTAATACCAATGTGATTTGTATTTTGTGATTGTTTTACATAATCACAAGCAGGCAACTGCAGGCAAAGTACAACTGATCTTTACTTCCAGATAAGAATGGTTGTCTGGTGGTTTTTGTTTACCCTATGAAAATCAATATATGTTTTTTATTACAGACTAAGAGACCAATAAACAGTATACAGGCCAATTTTATCACAAACCATTCATTTTACTTCAACTTTCATGATTTATTTCTATTAACTTTTAAATAGTTTATCCTATTTTATATACTAAGTTAAAGGGACAGTAAAGGAAATATAAAAGGGGTTATAGGCTGAAAGCTAATCACTTTAGCTCTTGATCGCGACCCATGAAAGTCATCTCTGATGTTCCTGTCTCGAGAAATTGATATAAAACTGTGTCAAATATAAACGAAAATTAATATATATACAATTTTGTATAAAAGTAGTAGGTTTAACAGATCATATTCAGCAAATAAGCAACCAATCTGAAAACGATGATATCCCAGAGAAAGCTAATTGTAAATTAGGTTTACTTTTATATTTGTTATTTCTATTTTCAATAGATTTCATTCATAATATTATTTTACGTCCGTATTACTTGACCAGAAATTCCACCAATGGCAGTGCAGTAAAGTGGTCACGTGATACAGGCGGAGACACGTGACCAGTATACTGCTCTGCCATTGGTGATAGTTCTGGTCACGTGATTTCAGTTTCAGATTTTCAAAATTTTACATATATGAATTTTCGTATAATTTTAACACAGTTTTATATCAATTTCTCGAGACAGGAACATCAGATAAAACTTTCTTGGGTCGCGATCAAGAGCTAAAGTGATTAGCTTTCAACCTATACCCCCTTTCATTCTTCCTTTACTGTCCCTTTAAGCTAACAATTATACGAATTTTACAATACAGAAGATATGTTTCCTAATAAAAAAGTTTACTCTGAAAAATTTTTCCTTTTGAAAAATTCATTTATTTGAAATACTTGCCTTATTATCATGATGAAGAAGGGAGGATACTGAAGTAGTGTTCAATGTGTTGGACACATTTTCCTGAAAAGATAATCATGAACATTTATAAACGGATAAAAATAAGATTAATGGTTAATTATTATAAATAAGATTTATAATTGGATGAAAATAAGATTTATACTTGGATATAAATGAGATTTTAGAAGGTTAAAAATAAGATTTGAAAATGGATATAAAAAGATTTATATTTGAATAAAAAATGGATATAAATAATATAGATGTTAACCTGAAGAAGTCGTTTGCTCCTAGTATCACTAGCATTGTACTCAACTATGTCATACCTAAAATAATAAGATTATGAACAAATAAAAATTCAAGAAATTATCGTGGCAGATCCCCAATGTGGAATCCCCAGACCGCCATCGGACGATAAGAGATTTAGCTTTAACCCGGTCAATCCGGTTCACCCTAGCCCAGGGGACTTCCACCAAACAAACGATCTTACAAATTCAAATTCCTTAAAAGTCATTAAAAATCTAGTCAATTATTATTACTTATGAATATATCATAAAGAATTCAAGTGGACATAACAAGACGCGTATATTTACATACAGTTTTTGAGTAAAGAATTTATACGCTTTGGTTGAAAACAAATAAATAGGGAGCTTTAACTTGCAAGCTATTTACTCCCATTTTGACAATTTTCCCTAGAAATTCTTTTAACTTTCCCCCTAGAACTCCTTAAACTTAGCAACAAAACTAGGGTTTCCAATCGGAATTCCGTTGCGAGCAATGATTGCTTCCGCTTGCGCCGCGCCATTTCGTTGCGCGGAATTGCGCTGTAATTGCAAACAGGGAAGCAATTAAATATTCGCGGAATTGCATGGAATTGCGTGCAACAGAATTGCTTTTCCATCTAAAAGTCAATAATTTTAACTGTGACTTACGAATTTATGCAGCAGATATAAGAATGGAAATATCTCTGTAGATTTTAAAAATCACTTGTTTCAACAGTTTTCAAATTTTCTTGTGGTTTAGCTACTAATTAACAATTTAATATCATAAATTTTTAATTTTGTTAAAATTGAACCAGAACCAGAAAACTATGCTAAAGAAAGACAGCATTTTAGGAGCCTTAAGCCATCCCTATTAATATGATTTGATTTGATAGTGTATTTGATGACGTTACAAAGCAAAAAGTTTTAACTGGTAACTTTTTAAATCACTTATTCAGTTAAATGGGTCTACTTGAGTCTAAAATGGCGTCGTCGTTCCTATGCAACATTTCTCTGATTATCATATTATGAAAAAATTGAAACAAAAATACAAGAAAGTTGGACTGAATTGCGCGCTAAAATAAGAATTTGCGCGCAAGTAAAATCCACTTGCGTTGGAAACAAAACCCTTAAATATTTTTTTACAATGTGTGGAGTTGAAATATATGGATTGGAAGATTTTTGAGGTCCGTTAAAAATATTTTGAGATATTAGCACGTAGAAAAACTGTTTTTACGAAAGAAAACTTGAAAAAAAAACAAATTTTGAAATCTGGTATCATCTCAGATTCTTGTGGACTGTGGAGCCTCCTAAGAGTATAAATAAAACGGATCCCATAACACATCCCTAGCGAGAACAAGATTTAGTTTTAAAAATGTGTGAAATACTGACCCTAGTTCCTGAGCTACGAGGTATGCAGTTGTCGTCTTCCCTACTCCAGGTGGACCTGACAGCAGGGCACATTTAGCCCAGGCTCCATTGTCATTAGCGGCTCCCCAGGGAGCAGGCTTAGCAGCCCCTTTACCATGCCTAGATAAAAAGAAATTTCTGGAATTATCTTCCGAGATAAAATAAAGAAATCCATTGAATTATTCCCAATCATTCAGGAAAATATATGTTCAGAAAACTGCAGTGAGACCCATAAGACAGTGAAATAGAAACGACACCATAATAACAATAACAATAACAAAAACAAAAACAAAAACAAAAACAAAAACAAAAACAAAAACAAAAACAAAAACAAAAACAAAAACAAAAACAAAAACAAAAACAAAAACAATAATAACAATACAATAAAAATAACAATAACAATAACGATTGCAGTGTTTCCTGTTTATTGAAATATTTTAAAATATATCTTGAGTCTAACAGTCGTCTTCATATTGTGCAGTTTTATTGTTCACATTGATTCCTATATTTTCGGTGTGTAAAATTCAACAATTTTACAACTCTTAAAAAAACCAGGTTGCAAATATAAAATTAGTAACTATTAAATTCAATACACAGTACATTATCCTATAATAACTAAGTACACTGTACAGTACATGAGTATGTACACAGTACATTATCCTATAATAACTAAGTACACTGTACAGTACATGAGTATGTACACATTACATTATCCTATAATAACTAAGTACACTGTACAGTACACGAGTATGTACACTACCTGTGAAGATGGTTTTTGTTCCAGTCTTGCAGCCAGATTCGTAGTTTCGCCATATTGGATCTATCTCCTGGAAAATACTTTTAAAGATTTTTTTTCGTTTATTTTTAAGTTTTCATGACTACAGAATTCTGGACACTTTTTCAAACTACAATCATTGATAATTTTCAGCAGTACCCCCCCCCCTCAACAAAAAAAGATTTAATTTACATTTTTCCAGTTTACAATTTACAGTTTTACACCCACTACAGTGGTATAAATATTTTTGAAAATAGAATAATACATCCCTAAATAATCATTTATTTTTCAAATATTCAAATTCATCAATAAATTCCTCCTACAATATTGGAGGAAACACGGATATTCAATAAAATATTTTAAATTGAAACATCAAGAAAATGTTGCATAAAAGGAACCGGTCGACGTTGTGGAATCTGACGAATTCTGCTAAAACTTTTAATGTTCAGGATTTCTGAAAATCTGGAGAATTATGTTGGATCCATGTGATGAGTGCAAAGAAGTGGATACGGAGAAAAAAGCAACTGAAGTTACACATGAAAACTTAGACTTTTCCCGATGTTTCTAAAACTTTCCATGCTTTAGCCTTAAGCAAAAAGAAATCTTCGCCACAGTTTTAGAATTTTGATATTTAGTTTTATCCTTGCCAAGCCATGAGTATGTAAATTGTGAGCTTTTTTTAACCCTATTCCCGCTGGGGGGAAGTACCCCAGCGGGGATAGGGTTAAAATTCTTTATTTTACTGAGAATTGCAAGGACTAGAGTTGGCAATAACTACTTCAATAAAGCATATAAACTGTAACAATCGTGTATTAATGTGGTGTGCTGGTTATTAGAGAATATTCGCCCTGGATATGAAAGAAATTTTTTTAAGTCTTAAAAACAACGTTACAAGTACAGACGTAATTTCAAGTGACGCTTTACCTTTAAACTTTTATTTGATGGGTAATTTGTAAGATGCGTTTTTTCCTAGTCTCCAGTCCCTTTAAATTGATAAAGCCATACCTTGTTGACCAATAACATTCTTGCAAGCTGTTGGTTTATATTTCTCGACAAAGAGCTGGGTTTCGTGAGAACTCGAGGACCAAGCTACTTCCGCTTTAGGGTCCTTCATGTAATTTTATTAAAAACAACATTTTTTAATTCATAAAAAGTTCAATGCCGATCAATAAGAACTGGAGTTTATAAGAACCATATCAGCACTGTATCCGATTTTGTGTCCTTAAATTAGGTTAAACTAATGAAAAGGCTGGATCAAATTGGCTGACATTTTTTGAGGGAACCCTGGAGTACCCCAGGAGTAACAAAGACTTTACAAAAATTGAATTAATCGATTTTTTAAATTCATTTTTTTCTTAGTGTTTCTAGAATTCCACAGCAACCCTGGGATAGTATTTTAGATAAACCAACTCCCACGGACAAACAATTTAATCAACTTTTGGCTTTAATGAAGCCGCCTTAACTCCCTCAACTCGTACGGTTTATTATTTAATTGTTAAAACTATCGACTTACCTTAGACTTGGTTGGTTCCTCTGCCTTTATTTTCGGTACAGTCAACTTCAATTCCTTATCTTCAGATTTAATTTTAGTTCCAGGGGTAACTGTTTGTTTCTTCGGACTCAACACTTCATCCTTTACAACCTTCTCTATCTTAGGGATTTTCTCTTTGATAATCTCGGTCTTAATTTCTCGTTTAGCCTCGGGGGAGGGGGTTTTATTCTCCTTCTCCTTCATTAGCTTCGGGTCCCGTCGCTCCAGGATAAGGTTCAGGAATTCGTCTTCGGACAATGTTTTTGTCCCAAGGTTTCGTCCCTTCTCAAGCTTACTTTCTCCGGCCTTAACACGGAAATCATTAACTTTTATTAATAAAAACATTAGAAAATGGTTCCATGGGATCCGCTGTTTACAAAAACTAAATATGCGGATCCAAACGGAATCAACATAATCCAAAAAAAATGATGTATGTTCTCAACACAAATATGAAAATTTATTAACACCAACTCGATCTCCCTCATGACAAATCAATGTACAGCAGAAAATGTTACAAAGAAATGTCGGAAAGGATTGATCTGTAACAGACATGAAAAACTAGAAGCGATAACTATTGTTAAGGGGGAATATATTTTGAAGAAATAAACCCCCCCCCCCCAAAAAAAAAAAAAGTTATCAGGTGGTAAGTATTTGCCCTTTTTCATACTTTTTAATAAAAAATTTACAATCAACATTAAAACATTTACACACTTAAAAGAAAAAACATTCCCTAATATACTAGGGACAAACAATTAACAAGGAGGGGGGGGGGGGGTTGTTGAAACAAAATAAAAACATTGGTTTTTCCCTACCTGGTCCCCAACTACTAGATAACTTGTATTCCTACTTACACTCTGAGTAACCTAAACATAAGGCATTTTTTTAATTTTAATACAGTAAGAACCAGCGTACATCTAGCTTTCAGAGAAGCAACAACTGAGAAAAGTACTCAAAGGTACAGGGTGAGAGAGAGAAACTTTTGCCAGGGTTCTATATGGGGGTATACATCCCTGCAAACAAATGGAAAAGAAAAAAACGGAACTACACGAGACATTGAAGACCTGCATTTATCTTTTAACACTGTTTTAACCTGGAGAATGGAGATTTTTTACTTAGCTGATTAGCAGATTTTGCTATTGGCAGCTTTAAATATACTCCTTAATACCAAGCTTGGTTAGCTGTTATTAAGTATTCGAACTCGTAGGAAAAACGTTAATTCTTTCGATTGAATCTGGTTCTATGTGTAAGCATCAAGGAATCTCAGAACAGTCAGGTTCTTATACAACTTTCTCCAGTTTCTTGCAGCTGAACATAACCCTGTATGGAATAACATGTCAGTACATCCTACTTGGAAAAAAAGGAAAATAATAGTGCAGAGAAGGGGGGTTTCTTTCTCTTTCTCTTCCCCCTCACTCTTGTCAGAAACACGGAAAATGGAAGCATTTAACATTATAATCCTGATAGGTTGTGTACCGTTGTGCACCATGCACTATGATACCGGTTTATACTCTGCTGGCTGCGAGGAAAAGATAGCTGTAGACGAGGCCATATTCTGAAGCACTGTCTAAGATGAACTTACAAGAATCAAGAAATCTTTTGTCGAAAAAATCCACTCTTATCCTAACCTTTCTTATACCATTTGTCATTAATATGGCGGAATTCTGACAATGCTAATCCTCAGAATTTTCAAACCACTCTTAGCAGTGACTTTTATTTTTCCAACCTGTAAGAATTTTATAAATATGTCTCCCAAGCTTTCCTTGTTATTCAAGCATAGGCGCGGAGAAAGCTTTATCCCGAATTACTGGAATGCTTAGTAAGACAATACATAAACGAGAGGGTAATAATCAGAAATATGTGTCAAAATGAATTTTTTTCCTCAGCTCAGCAAGAAAGAAGATACAAGTCTGAAATTTAGTTTTAAAAAAAATTATAATTTAAAAATAAATTGTTAAAAAAAAATAGTAAGAACCAGAACAATCTGGAATAGGAATTCGACTATTAAACTCGATTTGTGATTTTAAATAGTCCAATTAACATGAGGCACAGCAATTGTGCAGTACAGCCCCATTTAACTATATATGTGCAGGATTATCAGGAAAAAGATCTGGCCCCCACACTAGTTACTTTTTAAGATATTTGATCTGTAAAACATCAAACGCACTTCAGTATTGCTTTAATGTCGTCTTCCTATTCTACAGTTTTCTGGTTATCACAGTAGTATTGAATTTAATTACATTATGATTCAGTTATTTTGTTAAATGGGTGACTTCAGTTTTAGCCTTTGAAGATAATTAAAAAAAATCTGATGTCAGAACTTTAGTGTGAATTTCGGAATCGAGTTTTATCGAGGCTGAGCCCTGTATTGTATCAGTACGGACCTGTCTGTTGCGAGGTTTTAACCTCCTGTATCCTTGAGGCTGGTATAACAGCCTCTGCAGTTTGAAAATTCTCTATATACAGAACAGTTTGTATTTTGGAGTGGGAAGATATAATCTTTTGAGTGAAAGTTACTAACTTTGAGTGGAAGTTGAAAACTTTATAGTGAAAGTTATAAACTTTTGAATAAAAGCAATAAACTTTTGAATGTCAGCTTCCAACTATTTGGTGCTAAGTGATATATAGACACTTGTTAGGGCACTTAAACTAATATTACATATATTTCTGCCAATTTTTATCTAGATTGACGGAAGTAACGTAGTCTGGGAGACAAGTAGCAGCGGAGTCGGAAAGATAACTCAAGCCTTTGTATCGGAGGCTTGATTAACCACTAGGATAAGGATGTACCCTTGATACACTAGAGAGTAAAATTGAGGGTTTATTCTGCCACTTATTCTAAACCTGGTACATCCTTCATTTATTAGGTTGGAGGAGTAAAATTATATAATAACGATATATAGTATTAACTCTTCTTTATCCCAGGATAGAGTAGAAGTTCAGACTTTTTACTAAGTCTATTATTGGGGTGGGTTAGTTCAGATCTATCTCCGGATATTTCTCTACTGACTTTCACTTTTTGTTTAAATGACCTAGAAAAAAAAAAGAAAAAAAATATAGAAAAAGAATAGAAAAGAAAAGAAATAGAAACAAAAAATAAGATAAAAGGCCAAAGAAAGAAAAAAAAAAATAAATAAATAAATAAAAAGACAAGAAAAGAAAAAAAAAATAGAAATAATAAAAAAATAAAGAGCACTAAAAAAAGAACACAAAAGAAAAAAAAAAGAAAGAAAAAATAATTTTTTATTTTTTAAGAAAAAGTGCCACAACTAGTTTATATATATTTTTGTAACTGATTTGTAAAATTGGGCGTTTTTCAGTGAAGTCACATAGTAGCTGAAATTCAATAAAGTCCTGCCGCCGGGACTTTATTTTTGTCCATAGTATTAGTATACTCAGCAGATATCCCGATTTAAACATGCCGCCTAAAGTTGCTTTCCCATGCCCTACTTGTGGAAAAAATGTAACCAAAAAAACTGGCGGAGTTAGATGCTGTTATTGTGAGCACTGGAGCCATGCTAAGTGTGTGGATGTCTCTAGTGAGCATCTCAAATTCCTGGAAATGCCGGGGAATAGTTGGACCTGCAAGACTTGCAGAGCAGTTTCTAAGAAAGTGAGGGAGGAGGTACAGCAACTTCACCTGAAAGTTAAAGACATGAGGGAGGATATTGATGTGAACAAGGAGGAGATCAGCAACCAGGATAGGAGACTGAGTCGAGCGGAAAAGAAGATAGATGATTTCTGTAGTGTTGAAAGCAATAATGACGTCGTATTTGACGAACTCCGTGAGCGCGAAGCCCGGAAAAATAACCTGGTGATACATCAGATACCTGAACCATCAGAATCTTTGGATAAAGGTGGTCAGCGTAAGGAACATGACACTCAGAAGGTTTTGGATATTTTTGGTTTTCTCCAGGTACCAGTGAGGAAGGAGGGAATCAAGTTCATATACAGAGCGGGGGAAAAGCTGGAAAATGGAAAACCTAGACCTATTATATTATCCTTGAAGAACATCGCTGAGAAGCAGGCCATCATGGACTCAGCCAGGAACCTGGCAAACTCCAACTTCAGCCATATAAGCATTGTACCTGATCTTACCCAGAGACAGAGGAAGGATGAGGAAAGGCTGAGGAAAGAAGCAGAAAGAAGAAATGCAGAAATGGAAAAAGACGAGGCTCAGAACTGGGAATGGGTTCTTGTGGGAACAAGGGGTGAAAGGAGATTGATCAAGAGGAAGGTGTTTGTGCAAGACAGGAGAAATATTCACCACAGAGATAAGTCCTCATATGTACCCAGGAACTCAAGCTTTAAACGTAACCAAAATGTCCCACATCTAACTGGAGCAAATACAGTTCAGCTCAATAGATCAGCGCAACCTATCCTGAATACCAACAGAAGCTCATCTCAACATAGTTTTTCATCCAGGGATAATAATAGCCAGACCAGGGAGGAAAGATTTGTGAGGTTTCCTGATAACCCTGACCATCTGAGCCAACGCGGCTCATCTGAGGCTCGCCAAGAAGCACCCACCCCACCCTCGCCAACAGTCATGATGCCACAATTTGCTGATGATGGAGGTCGGGAGGGGGAGTGGAGGGGGGATGAGGATGGGGACGAAGTTGAGACAAGAGAAGGTTTTAATGATTTGACTACTATCAATTCTAGAGCAACTGATATTCTTCCATCAACTCTCTTTCCAGGCTGTCGTAGACGCCGGTCAACACAAAAACTAGACCAGCCATACATCCTAGTTCAGAGCAAGAAATTTACAAGGGACTAATACATTTTTTATGCGGATCCGGTCTTAAAAATGGAAAAGAGTCCAGCCTGAGCTCATGAATAATTCTTTAAAATTGCGGATTTATTTAACCAAAAATTTAAATTTTATTTTTCGTTGCATTTTTTAAGCAAAAGCCTAATTTACCATTCAATGTTTAAGCAAGACGTAGGAACACAATAAAAATTGAAAATTAAACAATTAAGTTCCTGATAATTTTAGTTTTAATCTAAATAAATCCCCGGGGGTTGTGGGGGGATATCTTTTAATAACGGAAAAAACTAATTATGTTTCTAAGCTATACCTGGCGACCCTTCAGGAACTACTTTACTTCCGGGGTTCTTAGCTCCACCCCTGGTGAGGAACTTCTGATAGGCAACCTGCTTCACCTTCTTCCGGGCCTCCCACTCCTCCTGCATGTACAATCAATCAATCAATCAATCAATCAAATTAATTAACTTGAAAAATCTTTTATTTTATTCTACATAATTTCATCCCAAAATCTTTAATTCTTACTCCAAGTTCCAATGAAGGTTTTTACATTCATATTTATATTACTAATAATTTTGATTGGTTAAATGAATGGATAAATGATACCTGTGGGGTCCCAGGAAGTTCGGAAACACTTTCGTCCAAAGATTTTTTATTCTGTGTCGGAGTTTTAGAGGAACTTTTAGGAGTTTTAGATGACTTCTCGGGTGTCTTTGACTTGGATCTTTTTGCAGTGGGCGACTTAGTCGGAGTCTTGGACCTTGATCTTTTAGAGGGAGTTTTGGAGGACTTTGCGTCTTTCGAGCTAACTTCAATTGTTTCTTGCGCTTTTTTGGAGGCTAGTTTGTTCGCAAGCGAGGGTGAGGAATCGGGACGGTGTTTCTTTGTGCTCTGGGGAGAAAAGGAGGTGGCTTCAAGGGTTTTAGCAAAAGCACTGAAATGATTTATCTTCAAATTATGACAATTCTTTCTCTAATATTTTCATTGAGCAAAATATTAAAAGAAAAAAAAGAAAAAACCATTTTTTACAAGACTTTTTTTCGATTAAGTGATTTGTTTAGTGCAATGATATGCTTAGACAGTTTTTTAATATTGCATTTAACATTAGCTAAGTGAACTTAATCTAGTAATGGGTCTTTATAAAATTTCTTTTAATAAAAGTATAAAACTTACTCTGCCTGTTCTTCCGCTTTCCGCTTTTTGGACGGAGTTTCCTGAGATAATTTTTTGGACGGAGTATCCTGAGATGTTTTTTTGGATGAAGATTCCTGGGAATGTTTTTTGGATGAAGATTCCTGGGAATGTTTTTTGAATGAAGATTCCAGAGATGAATTTTTGGATGAAGATTCCAGAGATGAATGTTTGGATGAAGTTTCTTGCGAAAGAATCTGATCATCTCCACTCTTCCTACCAACTAAACAAAAATGGTTTAAAACATAGACAAAAGATGAAAACTCGTCCTTAAATTCTTTTTCTTTGCAGTCATCTCTCTGTCTATATCCAATCCGAAAGCAATGCAACTTCACCCAATAGAGAAAAATAACAATAGGACATAATATTTTTAAATCATAATAATTTCCCGAGTTTCAAAAATAACCTTAAAAAATTGATCGACAAACTTTTTAAGAATTTTTCATTTTTGACCTGAAGTTTTAGAGGAAAAAAAGTCGGCGGCAGTAGTTTCCTTAAGCTTTGTGTGTCCCGTTTTAGATTCACTTCCGGTCTTTTCGCTCGGCTTAAACCCACTACCGGTGTTATTTCTCATCTTGGAACCGCTTCCGGTCTTTTTCTATATCAAAACATTCATTTTTTAAAACTATTTTTTATTAAAATAGGCATTTATAATCATAAGTTCCGTGAAACCTTGAAACTGTGCAAAATAATTATTTTAGAAGAAAACGGGGATTAGCATATTTTCAATAAATGCCGAATAGGATCCAGAATGCGGATCCAAGAAATGAAGAATAGGATCCAGAATGCGGATCCAAGAGTTGAAGAATAGGATCCAGAATACGGATCCAAGAATTGAAGAATAGGATCCAGGATGCGGATCCAAGAATTGAAGAATAGGATCCAGGATGCGGATCCAAGAATTGAAGAATAGGATCCAGGATGCGGATCCAAGAAATGAATAATAGGATCCAGAATGCGGATCCAAGAATTGAAGAATAGGATCCGGGATGCGGATCCAAGAATTGAATAATAGGATTCAGAATGCGGATCCAAGAAATGAAGAATAGGATCCAGGATGCGGATCCAAGAATTGAAGAATAGGATCCAGGATGCGCATCCAAGAATTGAAGAATAGGATCCAGAATGCGGATCCAAGAATTAAAGAATAGGATCCAGGATGCGGATCCAAGAAATGAAGAATAGGATAAAGGATGCGGATCCATGAAATGAAGAATAGGATCCAGGATGCGGAACCAAGAATTGAATACATTATGCATTAAATACTAATTATTTGTAATTATGATTTATAACAAATCCTTTAACAAAGTAAAGGGGGGAGGAAGGGTTAGCATTTCAAAAACATTATCTCTTTAGGAATAAAATTATTAAAATTCAATACTACTGTATCTGCATTAAAAAGGAATGGATCTTTGTCAGTGGGATAAAATCTTAAGATATATTTTAATTTAATGGAATAAAATTTTAATTGATAAAGATAAAAATTAGGCAACGCCATGCAGTATTCTTAACAACAACAAAGAAAAAAAGTAAAAAAGCATGACATGAAACAGCCATTTTTGTTCTTCATTTATGATTAAAAAGGCATAAAATGAAAAAGTTGACGTGTTTTCCAAGATAAAATAAAAAGTGTAAAAACAGAAAATAAAGAACACATAAAAATGCACTTATTTCATTGTAAGATAAGCACTTAGTCTATCACATTATTAACAATTTTGTCGGATATAAATTTGAGTCGACACCTATGACGTATGTACTGAGATCTATTTACATATTATGATATTCCGAATCACAACAGTACCGGACCCTGTAAAAGTTTATAGAATTTAAAATGGGACCAAATCGTCGTTTTCTGACTTTAGTATGTATATAAATAATTTCTTGATTCCATAGTGACTTTATTTTTCACAAGGATTAGAACTGATACTCCGTCAAAATATAAAGTTCAAAATATTTTTTTAAAAATGTGGTAGAATATCCTCGTGGGCAGCCATTGCGGCTCACCTGAGCCTCAGCAAAAACAAATCCTTTAGTGAACTGAACGCAATTGTTAGAGAATATTTTAGCGATACATTGATAGAACTATGGGAAAAAAAGAGTAAAATAAGATCAATAAAAGAACAGGAACAGTTAGTCTCAGAACACAAAACAGACAACACAAACATTGAACAGAAACACGCCGAACTAATTGATACAATAAAACACCTAATGGGAAAGGACAGTAATGAGTTAAGTAGAGGACAGCAGTGCAGTGTTCTCAGATCTATTTCCTTTTAGTTATCAAGCTATTATACTAATTTGCTTAAAACCTCCAATACAAATATTTGCTTAGATGTCGTCTCATGAATCACACTGCGTGTGGATTGCTTTATTTGTGATGTAACCCAGGGAAGTGTATTAAAAATAAATGTTGTTCCTCTGATTTAAAATCCTTCTCATCTTCTTCATCTGAGGAATCTATCACCATCTTCTTTTTCTTCTTCTCATCCTTATCAACAGATAATTAACAAATTGCTTAAATGCCTGACGTTGCCCGTGGAATTTTTAAAACAAAAATTTGATTTATAAGCTTCTTAAAAAAAATGTTAGCCCAGTCGGTCAAGCCAGCTATAACAAAAATAATGAAAATGTTCTAACTTTTAAGACAGTATACAGTTTACATTCACTTAACACAGTATACAGGGTTACCCACAAAGTATGAGACTGTAACTTGACGACTTGAACCTCTAAATACAAAGATCCCAAGATTTATTAAGTCTTCTGTCTTGAATATAACCTTTTAATGACTTATTAAATTATTTGGCAAAAGTTGAGAAGTCCACAGTAGCTGGAAATCATGCAAAAAAGGAAACAGGGTGTATGAATTACGTACAATCGTCTCGTTAAGTTTAATCCTTGGAGGGCAACCCTGTAGTATGTATTCTTAACAGTTATAACATCATATCTTTTTTAGGCATTTAGGATACTTTTGTTCAAACATCCCTTATGACCCTTCTTCTCTGCTTGGTCGCTAGCGGCGTTTCCGCTGGGTTTGGTAGTCCCAGTTGCAGCAGGTTTCACACCCGGTTTAGTGGAAAAATAATTCCGTATGTCCATTGCCAATTTTCTGAAATATTTCGTAGATTTCTTGAATTAACAATTTTATTCTAAAACGACTAAGTGTATATTTCGAACATAAATTCGGAGAGGTTACATAAATTTATTGAAATAATTATCAACCGATCTGATCTAATCGGATCTAGCAGATTTACTGAGAGATGTTGATAGGTTCAATTACAGGATCCTGGAAGGAGAATGAAGGAAAGGAAGTCATATCTACTCCTGCTCCACCTCCATACTGTTTTGCAACCTTAACGAAAATAAGAAATTAAAGGGACTGTCAACGTAATCTCAAGTGACCTTTAATTTAAAGTTCGATTCCCAACAGTACCCTTAACACTTTTATCTGATCATTCATGATGAGGATTTATTCTTTTTTAAAGTTTGAAAAGGTTTTAAGTCTCATAACTTCCTCGATGACAAAACCAGATATCCGCAAATCACGCTTAAAGAGAAAATGATCAATTTGTAAAAAGGGAAACATTATTAACTTCATTTTGCTCAGACATGGTTTAATGGTTACCGTTGTGTGTTTCGGACAAGACCCTCCATAATAGAGTGTCATTTAAAATTACGTCTACGTTTTCTTTATTGCATGGGACATTAGTATCAGAACTAACACTTGGTCCATTTCTAACACTGAGTGTAAGAAATTGTCAGGAATTGAAAGACTAGTTTTTTGGGGATCCCGGCCCATATCCAGAGTAAAAGTTAATAATAAAAACTATAACTAAAATTTTATACTCATCTTGGATTTAAAAATATATACTCTTGAAAAAGATAACTTTGCAGATTTGGCCCTTTTCTAACACTCAATGTTAGAAATGGGCCAAGTGTTAGGAACTAGTATCCTCTGTATTGATCATTATATACGGGCAAGATTTGAAACTGAACCAAAACTAGGCTCTAAGACCGCTTAAAACACTGTCAATTTCAACAATTTGACCAATTTGACCAATTCATCTGTTGACCAATATACCCACCCAACAATATTTGAATTTACCCTTCACAATCCATCAATCAATTATTTCAATCTATCAATACAACAATCCTACACGTAATCAATTAGTTACTGAATGAACCCCACCTTGTCTAATTCCTGTTGAAGATCAGCTTCAGTCTGTTTAGTAGCATCAACTAGTTTACCCCCGGCAGCGGTTTTCTTGGAGCTGTACTCCTGGATCTTCTCAACAAACAGGGCCTGGATAGGATCTGTGGCCTAAACATAATACACTGTAGAAGATACATAACATACTTAAAACTAGGTGATTTTTACCCCGGACGGATATGCAATCCTATGAATGTATGTCCGGGGGGGGGGGGGGTGTTAATAAAATATTTAACCTTGGTGAGCGCGGGAGCCCAGACGCTGAAGTTGCGGGAACCCCACACACGGACACTGCTCAGAACACTTACAGACATTATGTCTCTGAAATTGCACAAATAGTTTTCTTTCTTCTCCAATATATCATTTTCAGATTTCAATTTTTGACCTTAATTTAATAAGCATTACAAACGAAATACCCGTTTCTATAATTTATAATTTTCAACACATTAAATTTAATTCTGTTTTTTTTTTTAACACTTATCAAACATCTTGAGATCAAATTCCCAATCATCATATATGAACTCAATCATCTCCAAGTAGATCTTCTACATCATCATTATATTCCGAATTATCAGATGTATCAATCGCAAAATTCTTGAGTTCGTTGTATTCCGACTGGTTTAGTTCATCAGTGTTGAGGTCTTCCATCATTTCCCTAGGGAGTAGAATGTTTGAGTGAGCTCCAAAAGTTTTCATAGAATTTAACATTTATTTAATTCATTAAAGATTTTAAGAGGATAAAAATTGGCTCTGAAAAAAATGAATCTGGGAATTTTTTTAGGGGCACCCTACCCCCTTTGCCAAATCATCGAAAATCCATGGAGAAAAATTAAAAAAAAACCCTGTTCGAACGTAACGCTGTAAGCAAAGAATTGGTAACCTATGGCATTCTGTGTACATATTAAATAATCAGAATTTTTAGGAGATCAATTGCAATTAAATTTATCAGCTGATAAATTGAAATACAACTAGCCAAGTTAACAATAAAGAAAGAAAACAAAAACTTTCCCCTCTAAATAGACTTACTTTATTCCGTAAGGTTTTCCGTCGACAAAACCGTGCAAATAGTCGACATCGTCACAATCCGCGCAGTCGCAATCCGTCCCATGCTCTGTCGACTCATTCAGTGGATCTGCGGGAAGTTCTTCGCAAACGTCCGCCGTGTCGTCCATTTCAACAACAAAGTCGTCATCGCTGCTTTCTATCGAAGATTTCCTGATAACAGTGTCAGAATAGTTCTGATAAAATCTCAGCTCTTGGGCTTCACGGTCCTTTAGATCGTTCGCTTCCCGTTCTTGTATATTCTCTTGTTTCTCAACATAATCTTCTTGTGTTTCAATCTCATTCTGTTCGTGTTCTTCCTCATGTTTTAGTTGTTTCTGTTCCGGTTTTTCGAAAGCCCTGGGACATAAAATATCTAATTATATCTGCTAAATACCGAGTAAAATTTACCACAATTTGTTAACCCAATCTATAACATGCGAGTTTGCAATCCGAAAAATATTAAAAAACTAATTCGCAGATTTTTTAAAGAGTGCAGCATGATAAAATTGCTTTAAACGTATAAAATATTATTCACATTTGAAGTCTTTTCATTCAGCATTTGAATACATTGCACATATTCAACCCGTTTCTTCGAATAAAGTACTCTTCATCATTTGAATTAACAGGGTTATTGTGAATCTTTAAAACTTTAAATTTCTAACTTTATTGTAAGCAGAGTCTGTCAACTGTGTGAAAGGACGGTTAATAAATGGACACTACAGACTACAGAGACCGCCAACAAATCAGCTGTTTACGTACGTTTGTCAGCTGATTATGTTCAAGCGATCAGCTGACTTTTGGAACATTTCCAAATTCAGGGATAAATATTAATAAATTCAGAGTTTTCAGGGATAAATAAAAGTTCTAAAGTTTTTAAATATCAACAATTAGACTGGTTTCATGTAAATTCAATACAGAGGGTACCAAGAAACAGAAAACAGGGTAAAAACGTTAAATAATAGATGACCCCAAAAATGCGACATTATATCATATATATGACATTACATGAAATACATTTTTGAACTAAACTTTGCTCTTTAAAAATTTCTAAAATTTTATGGCAAATTTACGAGCAAATAGGCGAATATTTTCGCATAATGTGTTTTTTAAAATTAATTTTCAAATCATGAATGTTAGGTACTTTACTTTTCCAAAGGATTTTTCCCAAGTGGCAACTTTCCAAGGGTATTTTCCCAAGTGGCAACGTAATTCCAAGGGTATTTTCCCAAGTGACAACTTTACAAATGTGCAATACACCACTTTTCTTGTCACCTGTTGTTAAGTATATCTATATTATCTATTTGTAGACTTAAATCATCCAAAGGAGTACGGAGTAAGGATTCCAAACCAAGATCAAAGTTGGAGAACTTAAAACCAGTTTTAAGGTCCCCCTCAAGCTCCAAGTTTGCAGCCTGAACAAAATTTATCATATCATTCGTTTTCTTTTGACTTTTGAACAGCGTGAGAACCAGAACACTCTGGAATGGGATGACGACTTTTTGACTCAAGTTATGACTTTAATAGTTCATTGAACAGGAGACACAGCATTTTTTTGTAATGTTTACAGGCTCATTTAACTTGATACTTTATTCAATAAATTATTAGGTAACTTTGCTTTATAACAACATCAAATACACCTCAGTATCACAAAAATATCGTCTTCCAATTCGACAGTTTTTTGGTTCTCACTGTATATTATTATTAAATATAAAATGGGTTAGTTTTCATGCTAAAATATATTCCACCAGCATGATGTTAAAAGAAATGCATTTAATATTTAGTAACCTTTGTAAAAAAAAACAATAAAAATTTATTACCAAAATATTTTCCAGTTTGTTTTTATTTCTTTCCAGATCTGCTTCCTGTTGCTTTAATCTTGTGTTTAGCTCAATCTTCTCTTCCGAAGATGCATTCAGCTCAAGCTTCTGTTCCTGTATCTTCTTTTGCTGCTTATCTATCTTCTCCTGTTGCTCATGAATCTTGTTTTGCTGCTCCTGAACCTTTTCCTGAATCTCCTGTATCTTCTGCTTCAGTTCCTCCTGTTTGAGCTGCAGGTTGGAAATCTTACTTTTCAGGGAGGACTTGTCCTTGCTTAAACTCTTTACAGTGGAGCTAAACAGTAGGATCTATCATTTATCAAGTTTAATTTAGACAGGGCCAGGGGTATATATTTTTAAGAATCATACCCCGGGGAAATAACACTTCATACTCTGAAAAAAAATTTTACCAAAAATTTTATTTTATCTCTAAATTTAGCTAGCGTCATGATAAACCCCTAAACAAGATTTTAAGCCCCGCACAAGCATACCTAACATCCTGGGGGGCGGATTTAGTAAGAATTCAATAAGAAATTAACAGACATCTTTACATTAAAAGAACTACACATACAGTGATAACTAGAAAACTCTGAAATAGGAAGACGACTTTATAGCAATACTCAGGTGTATTTGATTTTTTTACAAAGCAAATAGTTTTACTAGCACAATTGCTTTGTCACATGCTCATTGGACTATTCAAAGGGTAGTGTATTTTTCGACCTACGCAAATCCGCTATACTCCACTTCTGACCTACGCCAGATCCGATATACTATACATCCGACCTACTAGCACGTGGTTTTACAGCTGCTATATGGACTTGTGGCCGCAGCGAGTTCGCGCAATTCCGCGCTACGGAATTCCGATTGGAACCCCTCGTTAAATTTTTACCTCAGCTGACTCTGAAATGAACTCTTCTCTAGCTTCCAAGCAGTCACCTTCCCCTCCATTCCTTCTACCTTCCTTCTCCAGCTGTTCCCCTCCTCCCTCACCTCCTTCAACTCCTTTCCCAGAGCGTTCCTGATCTCAAGGAACCCTGCCTCACGTTCCTTTAATCTTTTCTGAAGGTGTTCCTTCTCTTGGACAAGTTCCTTGAGTTTGGTTTTGATTCCCATTTTCTCTCCAGCCTCAGTGTTCCAGCGCTGCCGAAGAACATTTCTAAAAAATAATTTTCTAAAAATTCAATTTCTAATTTTTTTAATTCAACTCATAAATAACCGATTTCTAAACCTTCAATTCAAATCCTAATAACTCAATTTCCAATTTTTATTTGAAGAATTTCTAAGAATATGTCATAAAAAATGGAATGTTGTCATTTTTGTCCCAACTATCCTTTATTAAAAACCACAAGGGATTGTAAGAAAATTGTTTCAGGAGTTCTAGGATGATTACACGAGAAAAATTAATCTAGAACCTTTAAGAAGTCATTTTTTGTTTTGGTTTGGGCTTTTTAAGTTGCTCTGCAATTAACCCCATTTCAATAATTACAATAATATTGATATAATATTTACTACGAATATTTTTGAAATACTTAAAGAACTATTTGCAATATTCTACAAACTCTTCCTTCATTTAATCTACCTTTCTCTTTCTAGTGCCACGATTTTTTCTTTGCTCTCTAGAACTGATCTGGATAATTTCTCATGCTGAACCCTCAAATCCTAAACAAATTCATCTTTTATGTCAAATTCAAGTCAACTTCATGCTAGATTGGAATCTTGCATATTTTCTTGATTTGAAGTTTTAGAATTCTGAATTATATTCCGTTTAGAAGTAATATACTTTGACCGTTTTACCAAAAGTTCAAAGTACAGAAATAGTTCATCTATTCAAAAGTTAGATAGGAACTCAAATCGTAGTAGGCAAAAGGATATATAAAAAATCTGTGACTATAGCAATGGAGCACAGAGTGAATGATTGTTAGAAAAAGGGGTTGGAAATAACATTGTCAAGTGGAATAGCTTTCATAAATGTTTTTTTAACATAATTATTAAAAGAAATTCCCCTCCGCCATTCGAAAAGGTTTATTTATTTTTTATAATGAAGGAAATGAATATTTTATAACCACCAACCTTGAACAATTTAAAATTTAATAGATTTCACCTTATTTTCAGTCCTGAGGTTATCCTGTAGAATAGTGTTGTTGACCTGGTTCATCAACGTGTTGTTCTTAGTGATTAGGGTCTCCATCTCCTCCTGCTGGGTGCTCTTTACTACAATAATAATAATAAAAATAATAATAAAAATAATAATAAAAATGATATAATAATGAAAATGATAATGAAAGTGATAGTGATAGTGATAATGATAATGATGATTATAATGAAAAAAATACAAATCGTGAGGAATAATAAACTAGTTCAAGTTTCTCATACATAAACTAGGACCCGGAGTACCTGTAGTAAACTAGGACCCGGAGTAACACAAACTCTTCTCACACTAGTTGAACTCTGAAGAATGTTGGTGAGCTGCTAGATTATAGGATTTGGAGAGGAAGGATTGAAAACCGTGAAATCTAACAGTCAAGTTTCAGACGCCAGACATTCGCCTGTCTTTAAAAATATCCATCAATACATATTTATCTATTCATCTATTCAGTCATTCAGTCATTTGATTTTACATTTAGGAATTAATCTATTCAATCAGCTATTCATTTATTCAATAATTACATTCATTAGCTCCAAGAACAGAAGAGCCAATTTTTCAATTCAAGCAATTCAAGGATATTTTGAAATCAAATTAACTTTGATTTCTCAAATCTTTTTGGCCTGTAAGAGTGCTTTTGCTTCTAGATTTTGTTGTATTGGGTAAATTCGCGTTTTTCTTTATTTATAAAGCAATTTGTTGGACTTTACTGTTTGTACATAACTTCATAACTGTTTAAATTACTTTAAACGGAAAGAAATGAATGCAAAAATTCAGAAGATCACCGAAAAAGTGCCTTAACAATTATAAAAAAGAGAGTATAGTTGTTAACCATTAATTATAAAACCTCTATAAAATGTCGTCTTCAACTTGAATCTCCTGTCGGAGACAGCCAAACCAAATTTTCAGCCCGCAATTTCCTTTGTCCTCCTCCGACGGAGCTTAAAATATTTTCGTTGTCGTGAAATCATTAAAGTTAAGCAAAATATTTTCATAAGAAGCATAAGTGAATTTCGTTAAATATTCAACTGTAATTTTTCAGAAGTTAAAAAAAACGTATTTCAATACTGATCAACAAATAAGTCACCCCCGACCATAAGCAAATAATTCGTAAGATTTTTTCTACTATTAACATTTATTATAACATTGTACAAGTAACCATGATCTATAATCTATGTTATTTTTTTTAGGAAATAAAGATTTTGTTATCGAATTTCTGAGACGGGGTTACTCTGTTGTGTGTGTATTGTTCGGCCATCGGGGAAAGAATTGTCTGGGGATAATAAACATCCCCCACCAGAATCCTTACCGGCCTACTATTCTGATTTGTCTAGCGTGTTGCTGTTATCCGTCAACATTTCGAATTATTCTTCCTGGCGGACTTACAAGACAACCTCGAGATGAATCCTACTACTCCTCTCCATGAGGATACTCTCATCGACCTTCCTCCTGAAACCCCTCATCAGGAAGCTCAAAGATAATCTATGTTATTTTTTTAGGAAATAAAGATTTTGTTATCGAATTTCTGTGACGGGGTTACTCTGTTGTGTGTGTATTGTTCGGCCATCGGGAAAGAATCGTCTGGGGATAATAAACACCCCCTTCAGAATCCTAACCGGCCTATTATCCGGATTTGTCTAGCGTGTTGCTGTTATCTGTCAACAACAGTAAAGTGTGAACAGATAGTGAACTTTCACGTATATAAACATATATGTTTTGTATATGTATTGTATAATTGTATGTATTCAACAGATGTATCTATATATATATAAAGTTGTAATCTATGTTTGACTGTTTATTTGTTTGTCTGATCACAACTCAGGAACCCATGAACCATGATTACACGGCATTAGTAACTTTTAGTAACCTGGGCAGCGCTGGGTTCCCAAGCTAGTATATAAAAGTTCGACTGAATAAATACAAGGACAAATGATAAATGCAAGAAAAAAAATGTATGACAATACGATAAATTCTTACTTACTTACTTAACTACAAGAAAAAAAGTTCTGAAAGTGTAATAAGTATAATGAGTTTGAGGTATAAAAGAAAACTTGACTGACAATAAAATTAATACTGTGAAAAAATGTCTGCCAGTATTAATGATTGTTTACTGTTACTAAATATTTTCCAGCTTCTCAGTTCCAGGTTAAAATGGTCACCTGTTTTTCCAGCTGGTGTATTCTTGAATGTAGACTATTAACCTCTTGGCTAGAGGTGGAACTCTTTACCTTGTCCTCCAGCCTCCGAAGCAAGAGGCCAACCTAGAGGATAAATGATTAATCTACTGATCAGACGTTAAACTCTTCACCCTTGTCCTGCAGCCTCCGAAGCAGGAGGCAACCTAGAGGATAGATGATTAATCTACTGATCAGACGTTAAACTCTTCACCCTTGTCCTTCAACCTCCGAAGCAGGAGGCCAAACTAGAAAATTAAATTATTAATCTCCTGATCAGAGGTTGAACTGTTCACCTTATCCTTCAGCCTCCGAAGTAGGAGACCAACCTATAAGATAGATGATTAATCTCTAGATCAGAGGTTGAAATCTTCACCCTTGTCCTCTTTCCTCCGTAGTAGGAGACCAACCTAGAGGATAAAATGATTAATCTCCTGATCAGAGGTTGAACTCTTCAATTTGTCCTCTCGCCTCCGTAGCAGGAGGTCAACTTAGAGGATAAATGATTAATTTCCTGATCTGAGATTGTACTCTTCTACAATACACTATACACATTCATATTATTAGAAGATGGTGATTTTTCCGGTATATACCTAGTGCACAACAGGAAAAATATCTATCTTACAAAAAATTTTGTTCCTAAATCTGGCTGTTTTTGTTCCGAAATAAATCTAGCCCCCCACTCTCTTAAATCCTGTATCCGCCCGACTCTCCCTTTTTGTCTCGGTCAGTAAAATGTACAAATTGGTCTAGCTGCCCAGTGGTTGGCCGGGTACTTCAAATGAACGATTATAGTGAAAAGTAACCTGTTGTGCTTCTGTCTCTAGCTCCACTTTCTTATACTGGTCGAACATGTGCTCCCTTTATTATGCAGTCAGCAGTCAATCAATCAATCATCAATAAATCAAACCAGGGGCGTATTCGAGAATTTGTCCAGGGGGGGGCTTAAATTATTTCTTTCTTTCAAGGGGGCTAAGCACCCTTAGGCCCCAAAAAAAACCCTGAAAAATCATAGAAATCAATGATCCAGGGGGGAAGGGGTGAGTCCTCATTGCCCCTTACCAATATACCTAGGGAGGGGGGCCATGCGGCTTGAGCCAATCAATATCCTGTTCGAACCCAAGTAGTTAGCAGAACCCTGCCCAAACCCGCGAAATCGACTTTTTGAACACGCGAAAGACTGCTCAAAAAAACTTTAATTAATACTTGCTTTTAAAAGAAAAAAATTAAAGAAAAAGGAAAAGGTGCGGGAATAGGTAACATATATCCTCTTAGCTTTAGCTTGGATCCGGATCCGGATCCGCTTCAAAATTAAATGGATCCTAAGCACTACTTCAATTTCCTTTTAAATCTATGAAATTCTTCTTGTAATTGAATAAAAACCAAAAATGGTTTAATTCTTTTTAAGTGCTGAGCATGCCTGGCCACGTGGAAAATAAATCCCACAAGTGAAACCATATTCTCTCCGGGACAGAAAACACATCGTATCCGTACACCCTCCTCCAACCCTGATTTCTTGTCCAAGAAAGCTCTAAATGAAGGAGATGAGAATCTATATTTATAAAGTTATTATCTCTGTTTGTATGTCCGATCATAACTCATGAACCCCTTGACCGATTTGCCTCAAATTTAGATTGGGGAACTCGGGAGAATCTTTGAGAATGTTCTTAGCTTGGTTTTGAGATTCTAATTTAAATGGTTCAACTTGTATAGGGCAAAATGGCAAAAATCGTAATTTAAGATTAAGCGCGGGTAAATTGCGGGAGTAACTATACCCTGGGTAACGCTGGGTTCCCAAGCTAGAAAACAATTTTATTTTTAATTTTATAAATTGTTTTAAATAACCTTACTTTTAGCTTTTTTCTTGAGATAATTGTTACTTTGAAATCTCATGTTTCTCAAATTAAGATAATATCTATATAACACTTACGTTTAAAAAACTGAAGTTAATGAATTGTAAATAATATGATTAGGCATCAAGATCAACATATACCCTTTTCCTTTCCGTGAACTTTTTTATTAATCAAGCTACAGTAAAAAAAACAGCAAAAACTAATATTTTATCTTTTTTCCCACGTACTTTTGAACTTTTTAACCATGAAAGTTAGAGGTCTAATTTTTTAATCCTAATCCCCCCTATTCTATATTAGACAATAGAAGCCCAATCACGATAGGGTTAAATAACATAAATGCCCCCCGGCCTCTATCAAAAACACCTCCAACGTGATTCTACTCTTCCCTGTAGTCCCCGTCATATTCCTTCTTCAAGGTTTCCTTCTCTCTTCTCTCCTGCTCAGCTTGGAGCCTCAATTTCAGAACATCACTCTAAAAAGAGAAAATGGTAAATTCTTGGTCTCTGTATTTTGTAAGTACCATGTCTGATTTACAATGGTACCCTGAACTCTTCCTTTTTCTTTTTGAAAATTTATTTATTTCAAATGTGGTTGCTCTACAAATGTGACTTGCGAATTTCTACTAAAAAAAAAACAATTAAGAAAATTGTCGGAACTAAACATTTTTCAAGCTAGATAAACTAGAAAAAACGACGATATTTTTTAAATTATTGATCTGATCAAGGTTTAAAGGAAGGTTACCATGTTGCATTCATGAATAAGGCATGTACCCCTCTTTTAAAAAAGAATAACAACAATCCCTTCAATGAAACTTGTTGGTTTGGAGTATACCTCTTCCTTGAAGGTAAACGCTATCCGACTCGGAAATAATATTTATAATATTAAGGAAAACAACTTTTACAGAGTGTCCCACGAAACATGACAGTAGTAAGATGACTTGAAAGTTGTCTTTAATCTTTAAATTTGTTTGTGACATTCAGAATGTCTAGTTCAGGGTTCCTCTCAGAGCAAATTTGGGTCAGTTTACTTGACCCAACTGACCCGCCACTTTCAGATTTGGAAAATTACTGCAAATTTTGAGCAGAAACGTGCCACTTTTGGAGAATAATCTGCCCATTAAGAGAACAAATCTGCCCATTTAGGGGGAAATTATATCAAGTAACAGAAGAATATGCCAATTTTAGCCAAAAATGCCAATCAAGGTATTCAGTTGGTAACATTCTTCATATTTCATGAAAAAATCTGCCATAATGTGTGCCACAAATAATGTTTTGGCACATAAAATCGGCCACACATACAATAGAAGATCATAAAATCTGCCACAAACAAAATCTAAATGCATAAAATCTGCCACACAAATTATAATTGAGTTTAAAATCTGTTACAAAATTTTGTTAACAGATAACATGCCACAAGAAATACCCTGACACAAACATAATCTATATGCATAAAATCTGCAACATAATTTTGAATAAACTTTAAATCTCCCACAAAATGATGATATATCATAACAAATATCATAACAAATGCTACAAGTTATACCCTGACACAACACCTGCTACAAAATCAATCAAAGTTTAATAATATGCCACCTTCAGTATATAAAAGCATGAAATATGTCACAAAAATACTTCACCGCAAAAAATGCTTTAATTGTCATGTCTTGGCACATACAATCAAAGCTCATATGTCACAAAAAGTATCCAAATGGAAACACATAAAAATGTCACAATAAAATTTTCCACAATTGTAATAATATCTCATAAACTAGGCCACAAATAGATTATCTTATTGCATAATATCTTCGGAAGGGGGGAGGGGACATTATCTGAGACAAAAAGGCAACTTTTTGTCTCAATCAAATACAAAATAAAACATTGGTTTAACAAGTTAAAGTCCGTTTTTAGCCATGATTTATAAATCTTAACATCTTCTGAGGTTTTGAGTACAAATTTTTTTTCCCTGCGTCGCGCCTAATGCTATAATTCCAATATTATACACCCCCCCCCCCTCATTTTAATTAAAGCTGCAGCCAGTATTCTAAAACTTGACCATCACACTAGTATTATTATTGGAATTAGAAAATGCTCTTCTCACCAAATCTATTGGCTTCTTGTCAACCTCTCTCTCCCCCCCCCCCACCCATGGACAAATATTTCATTGTCTGTGAGGTGGTGGTGGGGGGGGGTCAAATTTCTCCCACTTTTTTATGCTGTCAATATTACCAGAAATATTAAGAATTTCATTCAGATTTCAATTTTATCAAACTATAAACCAAAATTGTCTAAATTGTCTTATAATATTGAAAAAACAAATAAGACAGACCACATTTTGGAAATGTCAAAAATAGGTGTATTTTGTGATTATTAATTATATAGGTTTTTATTTCTAAAATTAGGTTTACGAAAAAACTTCGCAAAATATTTCAACAATCAAAGACGATCAAAGACGATCTTCAAGTTGTCTCACTTCTGTCATGTTTCGTTTTTTATTTTTTTTTTAAAAATTGAAAATCAAATCCTAAGAAAGCCAATATCAAAATTGACAAGCAGTAATGACTTAAAATTTAAGAATTTTTGTACTAGCCTTGTAAGCCTGAAGCTTAGTCTTAAGCTCATTAATTAGTGAGTCCGAGTGTCCAACCGTAGTTTCAAGATCCTCAATCCTTGCCTCACTCTCTATATCAATATATTTATTATATTTTTTGATTGAATTCTATCAAATTCAATCTTGTAAAAAGGATTATTTAAAAATGACATATGTTTAAAAATGGTTTCATAATCAATAAATATGAAAGTTGTTTTAGTTGGTCTTTTTTCAGCTTTGCTCGGTTTTTCAACAAGTATTTCTTTTGAACTACTTCACCTAAGCTCCCCCCCTGTGTAAAGAAAGACCTTCTGAATATAATATTTCTATCTTTTTCTAATTTCTTAAGTTTAATTTGGTTCATGGGAAGTTTGACAAATTGGTTACGTTGAGTTTAATAAAGGTGTATGTTTATTTAACAAATTAAACAAACACCTCTCATAAAAAATCAATTTAGCACACTTAAAGGTAAGCTTAAAGACTAAACAAAAATTAATTAATTTTAGAACAAATATTAAATGAAAATAAGATATAATATAGATATATTAAAATTTTATTTCTGGGGGGAGGGGGTTAGCACCCGTCGGGACTCAAAAACCCCCTGAAAACCATAGATTTCACTGCTCCGTGGACGGGCTGACGCCACATAGCCACCCCCTTACAAATCTGGAGACTATTTATATGATACAAGTTCTAGATTATTAGATTATTGTCATTATTCAATTTTATTGAAACTTCAATTACAAATAAAAGGTTTCTATTTTAATTTTGATCTGTAAACTTTTCTTCTTATCAAGATCTCAAAGTCAAACTTTGAAGACTTGTGTTTTATCAATATTTTATGGGTGCAAAGAAAAGTAAAAACATAATTATAATCATATTATTCATTCATGCTCTGTTTAATTTATCAAAGATTTAATTAGATTGGATTTTGAAAAACATATATTTCTTTTTTCTTATACCATTTTAAAAGTAATCAGGTTTTCTTTAAGGGATAAATTTGGGTTTTTAATGTGTTGATAATATATGTGTTTTTGAAACACTAATTTGTTTTATTAACAAATGATTTCTTGAAGGTTTAGTGTTTCGTCCAGAAAATCAGCCAGGAGCAAATAGATTCTAGTACAGAGTGTCCCACGAAACATCACAGTTGGTAAATAGTTTTTATGTCTTCTTCCATAATTTGTTAAGTTGTTTGATACCAAGGAGAATAATAAAAATACTATATAACATTCATAAAATAGTAAATTTGATTTTACAGTAAAACATTTCAATATGTAAAACATATTTAAGTAGAAGAATTTGTTAACGAAATAAACTGCATAAAGTCTTTAATGTATAATACAGAACATTCATAACTATTCCCCAACTGTCCTGTTTCGTGGCAACGTAGAATTTGTACACTCTCAAGTCTCAGTGCAGCTGTATTCTTACATCACAAGTGTCAACCAGTGGCGGATATAAGGGGGGTTATTGGGGTTATTTACCCCCCCCTAGAATCCTGGGGTTAAATACCCCCCCCTAGAATCCTGGGGGTAAATACCCCCCCTAGAATTTCAGTTTCTCAGAGGTTTTCCTTT